ATGGGTCTGTTTTGCAGTTTTTTGATCAATGGAGTTGAGTAACTTCAAGAGATTACTTCTGGCAACTCGCCCTCTTCAATTTCAAAAATATTTTATTCAAAGATATTTGAAAGTGCAAACTAACATCTGATATATCTGATGATATAACTAACATTCGAATAAAATATTTTTGAAATTGAAGGGAGCGAGTTGCCAGAAATAATCTCTTGAAGTTACTCAACTCCGTTGATCAAAAAACTGCAAAACAGACCCATTTACTAAATAAGTAAAATACTTATTTGCAGAAAAAAGTGTTTATATGACAGATTACTTTATTCTGAACAAAATAAAAAAAAATTATTACTCTATGACAAATATAAGGTGAGTTACAATCATTAATAGCTTTTGATGTATGAATCAAAATGGCGGCAAATGTGCCATTTTGGCAAAAATATAAATTCTTATAACTTTTAAACCCATAAACCGATTTAAATATAATTGATATTTTTGAAATCAGCACAAAAAACTCTATAAGTGTACAAATTTTCATCAAAATCTTAGACTGTGGGTGCCATGGCTGGATGAACCGACATGGAATGACCCAAGGGTTTATGAAATGATATTTTTTGAAGGGTCCGTTAACAGATCCAAATTTCTTCTAAACAGACCCATGATAGTACTTGTATTTTTGTTTTATTATTTATCTTATAGTGTATTTTATTATTTATCTTTACATTTAAAGTGTTTCTTTGCATTAACAGTGTTTATGTTCTGCAATAACACTGTTTCTCTTTGCAGTGAGAATAAATCTATTGTTCCTACTGTTCCTGCCTATCAAAAATACAGCTACTTGGTTGATCCAGAAATATCATCATCTCTGATTTTACCATTCAAATACAAATTGCTGTTGGAAATGTTCAGAAGCATGGATACCGTTATCAGCATTCTGAATAACCGAAAAGAGAAGATTACCTTTGAGAAAGTTAAGGAGGGCGTTCAGCGGATGATGAAGAGGTTTGATAAGCTAAGATAATTAATTTGCAGTATTCACTCTAAGTGTTTTTTGAAGGGTGGCCCATCCAATGAATGTGCCCTTTTTCTAAAACTAAGCCACCGTCCCTTAAAAACAATGCCTTTTTATTCATATTCCATTTTGATCAATTAATTCATTGTCTAGACCAGGGGTGGCCAAGCTCCTTGATAGTCGAGCCATTTTTCAGAATTCGAAATTTTTCGCGAGCCGCAATTAAATATGTATTTAAAAGGTATGAAAAAAGGGTATTAATTTTTTTTTTTTTTTTACAGAAATTATATTTATTGAGAACATATAAGTAACAGTACAAAATATGTGTATTGAATTAAATAATTAAAAGTTAAACACATTTATTTTACTTCTCTTGATAATTTTTTAAAATTTAGTGAATAATTGGTGACAGCACTTCTCAGTAATTTTTTGAGATGCTGCTTAGTTAATACTGATCGGTGTTTGGATTTCACGAATTTTAAAGTGGGATAAAAAGATTTACATAAGTACGTTATTCCGAATATTGAAATAATTCGACAAGCAGGCTTTTTTAATTCAGGATACTTCGATTTTGGTACAAATTTCCAAAATTCAGTAATCGACGTCGACTTATAGTTTAATTGTAGAGCTTGATCTTCTTGCGTCTTTATTAATTCTAATTCTCCAGATGCTTTTTGTGTCATAATTATATTGGAAATGGGAAACTCACCTTGAATTGAACAACGTTGCACTTAGTCTTTCATATTTGTTCTCAGTAATTTAAACATTTTGAAACACATACGGAACAATAATAATTTTTTAAAACATTATATCGCAGGAATGAAAAGGGAACTCGGTTACATTTATAGAAAGCCACAAATAATCCTTCAAGGAGCCACATGTGGCTCACAAGCCGCATGTTGACCACCCCTGGTTTTGACAATAATTACATGCTGGTAAAGTTATCTGTGTTCATAGGTTTAATTCTGATTACTATTGCAAATATTTACTTTGTTGGGACTATTCTCAATTTTTTAAATTTTTATAAGTGTCTTTTAAGTGATTTTAAAACTATTTTTTAAAATAGATTTTTTTTTTAAATTCACCTTTAAATGGTTATTTTTCCATAATTTTCAGTTTAGATTAGAGAAAAAAACTTAATAATTTTGTGTTAGTTTATTATTTTTTTAAAAAATATACACAGAGGTTGCCACTAGTTTTTTTTATAATCTAAAATTTTTTTTCTTGTTTTGATAATGTGCTGAGAATTACTTTTTGAAATATATACATATATACTATATATACTATATATACTATATATATTTTATACTATATATACATATAGTATAAAAGGGAAATTTAAAAATTGCTGAGGGTAAAATTCAGTTGTTACATAATATTACGCAACTTGGTAAATTTTTACAGTGTTGAGTGAGTGCCCTTTCAGAAGGGCGCTCTACCTATTCAGAGAGGAAACACCCGGCCCCTTTTTATTCCTAGGGAGAACACTGAATTTGTTTTAATCTCTACTAAATAAAATATATAATTGTATTGCTGTTATATTATTATAGTTTCCATATCTCATGCAACAGAGGAAAAAAGAAATAAATGAAATTGTTCCTCAGTGTAATTGTTTAAATCAATCTTATTTCCTTATTTCATAAATATAATAATAATTCTATGAATTTCCACTTTTGTGAAGTTTAATTTTAAATCTCTTATAAATGTTGATAATAATACGTAATACTGATGCTGATACATTAATACTAACGCTGTGTTTTTCAGAACTTTCTCTAAAGTCCATCTGGGGCAGATTATGACAGTTATGCCTACTGCCTATGATGTAGTATTGGAAAAATGTACCTTTAAGAAAGCCAATGATCCAGATTATCAGTTAATCATCACTCCTAAACTTAATGCAGCTGAAGGTATGTTCTTTCATCTTAATAGAAATAAACTATATTTACCTTTTTTTGTTCGCTATTTTTTTAAATTTAAAAAAAAAAAAGGTTTGTTGCTAAAGTCCGTTTTTTTTTTTTTTTTTTTTNTTTTTTTTTTTTTTTTTTTTTTTTTTTTTTTTTTTTTTTTTTTTTTGAAACAGCTAAGAAATGTTAAGGTTTAAGAATAAGAATTTATACTGATTCATAGGCCATCATCTGTAGAGCCTCTGTAATACTACGTAAATAAACGGGTATGAGTCAAGCTCTAAAAAATACAGTGTTTGTACTTTTTATTATAGAATTGGGCATCATTCATCGTTTCTGAGTAATAAAGGAAAACTATTTTTCTATACATTGCAAATTGCTAAGAATTCAGGATGTAATGAATAGTGATTTGGCCAAATACTAAATATTTGGCACAAAAAAAAAATGGCCAAGTACAAACATTTTTTAAAAAAAATCATTAATAAATATTTTTAATTTATAAATAAATTTAGTAATCATTCAAAATTAATCAAAACTTAGCGGCATTATTGGTGTGGGGTAAAGGAAAAAAATATAATTATCCATTAGAAATATTTAAAATAAATAGCAATTATTTAATTATAAATAATTTGCATTAACTCAACTCTAGTATATGATACTGAGAGCTTTTCTTCAGTGTTGGCAGGTTTGCAGACACATATATTTATTAAATTCTCATTTGGTGACGATTCATATCTTATTAATATTTAGTTAATCATAGTATTAAATCATTTATGCTGCATAAATTTTGTTTATTTCAGGTAGTAATAACACTAAGTCAAAGAATGTTACTATGACGCCTCTAGATCTTTCTGGAAGGGGTAAAGGAAAAAAATATAATTATCCATTAGAAATATTTAAAATAATTATNAATAAAAAAAGTGCAATATTTTCCAGTTATGATTAACATTAAATTAACTTGAAATGTTATATAATATGTTTACTCATAATTTTGAACAGCAATAGGCATTTTATTCATCAAAGATTGTTAAGATTTTTTAATTAATCTTAAAAAAAAAAAAGAGCTCTGAATAAATTTAAACTCAACATTTTATAACAAAAAAAGTTTTTAACTGACTTTTATAAACAAGGCTTGCTTTATTATATATATGTAACACTTATTCAAATATTCAAGCAAGCAATAATCTGCACAAAAAATCTATTTCAATAGGGATTTCTTAAAGAAACTTACTTAATCATAGGGAATTTTCTAAAATGTATAAAAACCAGGAGAAATTTTACTAAACCAGTAGAAACTGGCAAAATCCAGTAGAGTTGGCAGTCATACATACATGCATACATACATAAGAAGAAAAAAAACAAAGAAAATCAAGAAAATCACTAAGTTGTATTTACTGTGCATAAGCTACAAGTTAAAAGAACTCATAAAATAAGTTCAAAATGTAGAGAAAACATGAAAAAATTTACAGAATAATGCAAAAAAGAAAAAAAATTATTTTCTGTAAAAGTAGCAATGAGCAAAAATTTTAGTTTTCCTAGCTTTAAAACTGAAATTTCATGCCCTGATATATGCATGAAAAAAAAATCTATATATAATCTCTTTATCAGCTCACACCATTATATCCGCAAAAAGGAGTGCTTTCTTCTTTTTTTTCCGGATTTTTATTTTAAAAAAAAAGTAAATAATAATTTTTAAGTAATTTTTTTTTCTTTTTGCATTATTCTGTAAATTTTTTCATGTTTCCTCTACATTTGGCAAAATCCAGTAGAGTTGGCAGCCATACATACATAAGAAGAAAAAAACCGAAGAAAATCACTAAGTTGTATTTACTGTGCATAAGCTACAAGTTAAAAGAACTCATAAAATAAGTTCAAAATGCAGAGAAAACATGAAAAAATTTACAGAATAATGCAAAAAGAAAAAAAAAATATTTAAAAATCATTATTTACTTTTTTTTTAAAATAAAAATCCGAAAAAAAAAGAAGAAAGCACTCCTTTTTGCGGATATAATGGTGTGAGCTGATAAAGAGATTATATATAGATTTTTTTTTCATGCATATATCAGGGCATGAAATTTCAGTTTTAAAGCTAGGAAAACTAAAATTTTTGCTCATTGCTACTTTTACAGAAAATAATTTTTTTTCTTTTTTGCATTATTCTGTAAATTTTTTCATGTTTTCTCTACATTTTGAACTTATTTTATGAGTTCTTTTAACTTGTAGCTTATGCACAGTAAATACAACTTAGTGATTTTCTTGATTTTCTTTGTTTTTTTTCTTCTTATGTATGTATGCATGTATGTATGACTGCCAACTCTACTGGATTTTGCCAGTTTCTACTGGTTTAGTAAAATTTCTCCTGGTTTTTATACATTTTAGAAAATTCCCTATGATTAAGTAAGTTTCTTTAAGAAATCCCTATTGAAATAGATTTTTTGTGCAGATTATTGCTTGCTTGAATATTTGAATAAGTGTTACATATATATAATAAAGCAAGCCTTGTTTATAAAAGTCAGTTAAAAACTTTTTTTGTTATAAAATGTTGAGTTTAAATTTATTCAGAGCTCTTTTTTTTTTTTAAGATTAATTAAAAAATCTTAACAATCTTTGATGAATAAAATGCCTATTGCTGTTCAAAATTATGAGTAAACATATTATATAACATTTCAAGTTAATTTAATGTTAATCATAACTGGAAAATATTGCACTTTTTCTATTTTTATAATTATAAAAATCTATGTGTAAAATGTTTAGTACTTTTTGCAACAGTTATCATGACATTTATATTCCTTAAAATGTACCGGATTTTTTCCTATCTATGTTGGCAGCTACAGAATCCTTCCAAATTATTAGGGACACTTAAAATTTCTAAAAAATTTTCATTTCTCAAAGCGTCATAACTTTTTCAAAAATGAATAAATTTTCATAAAAATTTCAGGATATCATTTTCAGGTCTTCTACCTTCACCTAAAAATTACTAATTTAATTTATCTCAATTTTTTGCAAAAATTTGCAAATTTGAACAAAGCAATTTTATTTTTTTTAAAATGTCAAGTCTGACAAGTTGCTACTTTGTAACAAAATTTTTTGCATAAAAATTATTTTTTATACATTAAAGTACAAGTCATTAATTTTAAAACGCGCTGAAGTAAATGACTTTACGATTTTTTTTTGACCGAGATATGAGATTTTGAAAAATCTTTGTCATTTATAGTGAAAATGAAGTTATTATGAATTCGAAAATTTTTTAGTATTTACTCTTCTGCTTAAAAAGATTAACCTATTGACGATTTTCTGTTGAAAATTTGTTAGCTATTAATTATTTATTTGTAACGTAAAGTTCGCATAAGTTTATATTTATCACAGTTGAGAAAAGTTTAACTTTCGTATAAAAATAGGTGGCAAAATAAAGTTAAATTTCTTAAAAATTTCTTGAGCCGTTTAAATTGTTATTGTAAATTTACAAATAATGTTCTTGTTTCTAATAATGTTTCAAATAAAAAACTTAATTAATCTGAATAACAAAGTTGCAAAAAAATAATACTAAATACTAAATAATTTTCGAATTCACAATAATTTTGTTTTCACTATAAATGACAAAAAATTTCAAAATCTCATATCTCGGTCAAAATAAATCTTAAAATCATTTACTTTAGCCCGTTTTAAAGTTAACGACTTGTACTTTAATGTGTAAATAATAATTTTTATGCAAAAAATTTTGTTACAAAGTAGCAACTTGTCAGATTTGACATTTTTTTTGAAAAAAAATTGCTTTGTTCAAATGTGAAATTTTTTGCAAAAAATTGAGATAAATTAAATTAGTATTTTTTATTTAGGTGAAAGTAGAAGACCTGAACATGATATCCTGAAATTTTTATGAAAATTGATTCATTTTTTAAAAAGTTATGACACTTTGAAAAATGAAAATTATTTAGAAATTTTAAGTGTCCCTAATAATTTGGAAGGGTACTTTATGTATATATATAAACATACACTCACAGTGGAAAGTCCCATATCCGGAATTGTGGGGACTTCGGCTACTCCTAAAAATAAATTTTTCTGAATAATACTTCTTCGAGGTCAGCAAACATAAAAACATTCATTTTTAAATTTTTTTTTTTTAAAAAAAGATTATATTCCACTTCAATTTCTTACAGAAAATTTCTTAAGGGATGACATTTAATTAGCTTAAGAATGTTTAGTCTAAAAAATATATGCATTAATAAATAAAAATGAGCAGATTTTAATTTGAACTTTCAGCACAAGAAATGTGAATTAGCTGTGTAAATAAGCATATAAAAAATAACATTAAAAAATTATCTTCGAATTTCAAAAGTAAATTAATCTGATTTTATTAAATAAAAACTAATCTAAAAGAAGAAGTAGATTCTTCAATAAAAACATTTATTATTTTTAGAAAAACAAAGCTTCTTTTCTGGTGTTCTCTTCAAATATTTTATTATTCAGCTTTATTAATATTATAGTTCATAACTCTTCAAGTGTGCTTATTAAGGAAAAGTCATTTGTTTCTTTTGATTGTGAAAAACTGTCTGAAAATATATGCTTCCAGCAAATGGATGTATGTAATGTAATATATGGATGTAATGATATATGTAATACATATATTATTCATGTTATTTTTATTACCGTAATTATTTGTTGAAATAGTTTTAAATGGATCATTCAAACACATTGAATTATTTCTTTTAGGTATTTTTGAGCAGACTGAATTTTCCATCAGTTTCTGATGAAAGTATTAAAAGATGGCATCCCAAATTTGCAGTTGATAGTGTACCTGATATTGAAACTGCTACTTTACCAGAAATACCTGAAAATAAAGTTTGTACTGCTAAAGATGTATTGAACAAAATTGTCAAATCATCCTTTCGTGGAAAAGTAAATTTTTTCTCTATTAAATTTTTTTTTTAATTCGTAGTTAGTTCATACATTATGTTTTTTTTTTATTGGGTTAGTGTGTGCAAAATTTTTTATAATTAATCTTATTATCCTATGTATAATAAATAATATAACTTCCTCAAATTTATAATGTACTGTAGAGTCCCGGTTATCCGAGTTAATGTGGACCATGACTAACTCAGATAACTGAAAAACTTGGTTAAAGCGAAGAGTATGAAAAAGTAAGAGAAAGAGTAGGCATAAAAGTTATATATTTCACAAATACAAAATTTACACATACGATTCATACAAAATTTACACATACGATATACAAAATACAAAATATACAAAATTACACAATACAAAATATACAAAATTAAAGATATACAAAAATTAAAGATATACAAGATATACAAAATTAAATACAAAATTTACACATACGATTCATATTATAATTAAAAGGCTTACTTAAAAAGTTTGCTGCCACCGATGCACTAGTGCGTCACAGCGGCACCTTCTGCTATGCCGCGCTAGCGTGTCGATCGTCTATGATAAGTTATGTGCTCTGTGTTTAGTGTGGCTTTGATAGTTGAACGGAGAGGTTGTTTTGGCACTTTAGTGAAGCATTATTTTTTTTATGGTTGATTTTCAAAGCTTTTGTTTGAATTTTTTTATGTGCATGATTGCCAATATCTGTATATTGTGCTTATTATTTGTAAATATTTTCAGTATCGTTTCATAAATGGCACTACATATACTTGAGTGGTATTCCGATTTATTCCTTTTAAGCTGCCATTTTATGCAATATGCCAGTAATTTCAGAGAATATTGATCAGACGCGCTGGAGCGTCAGTGGCACTCACGAAGACAGGTTGAGTCTGTGTGCCACTGACGCTCCAGAGCGTCGAGAAAAAATACGCTCTCTAAACTGGAAAATAATATATTTCTTCGTTTTTCTGGTTTTCCTGGTAAAATATAAGGAGCATTTGAACCATTAAAACCCTGTTTTGTAATCCGGCTTCTGAGGATGGAAATGTCATTTTTAGTGGCAGCAAATGTTAAAAAAAGACACAAAGAGCATACTTTACAAGAATTGAAGAGTATTTACTTAAAAAAGTTCTTAATGGTTTTTTGTATTAAATTACTTTGGTGCTTTTCTACAGCAGTGCTTCGCCATTTTTTAGGGATAACAGGCGTTGCCTCTTTGTTCTATGTATTCCATATCACTTTCGATAGCTTTAGTCCATCTGTGTGATTATATGTTGATTTTCATCGTCACTGCTCACCGTCATTATCTTCGCTAGATTCATTATTGATAATATTAATGATCATTTCAGCGAATCAAGTTGTTGGATTTTGTTTTCCTGAGTGCTTGGAAGATAAAATTTAGATTCTTTCTGGTGTTTGAAAAATAAAATGTACAAAGAACAAAAAAATCCTTGAAATATTTGATAGCTTGGTCAAAATGGATGATCAGGTCTTTACTGTATTTTTAATAAAACTTGGTTGCTAAACTTGAATTATTTATTCCAATTTTATTTATCCGATTTTAATAATCGATTTTATTTATTCCGTGATTGGTTTGTAATAACATGACAATTTTTTGCCATTTTAGTTCAAAACTTTAAGTGTTTTAGTTAAAATATTGTTATTATATAATATTGGCCATTATTTGTACTTTTTACCAAAGAACACATTACTCATTTTATCATAATCTAATTTTTTTTTTTAAGTAATCGTTTTGTAATATGATAGTCTTTGCTTTAAAATATGTATCAAACATAGGTTGTTAAAGCTTTGAAAAGTGTAGCAGATGAATCAACAAACAGCAACTTAAAGATTGAACTGGAACCAAGTACTAGTGAGAAAACGCCAGCACCAACAAAAAGTGCCTTAAAAGGAATCAGTAGTGATTTGATAGCAAAAGTAAGTTCATTGTGCTTGAAAGCTGTGTTATCCCGAATTTTATTTATTTTATATTGTCTGAGAACTGTGCAAAGTAATAAAGATATAGTTCATTTTGATAGATGCTTCTATGAATTAAAACCCTTATTTTGTGCTTTATATTTACTATATTTTCTGGTTTATATGTAAATCTGGTATTTGAGTGGAGACTCTATTTTTATATTCAAAAATTTTTATTTTTTAGTGTATTCAATGTATAAGTCCATATGTATGTGTAATAATGTATAAGATGTATATTTATCCCGTTGGGAGATTTGAAAATGTCTGCCATTTAGTCTGAAGATGCTATTCAATATTTGCTTTTCAATAATACTATTCGTTTGGATGGTAATTATTTTCAAAAATTAGGCTTCTTATATAAATTAATTTTAGCTCTTCACTCAAGTTACATATGAGAGGAGCTGTGGTAGCTCTGGGGATAGAGCGTCCGCCTTCTAATGAGTTAAACCGAGTTCGAATCCTGGCGATGGCTGGTCGACACGAATTCCGCATCTGGCTTGCACTGACCACAGTGCTGAAGTGAACTATCCTCATAGGTAGACCTTGCCCTCAAGCTAACCGTGGGAGTTTCTCATGGTCTTCCTCTCCATGTAACGCAAATGCGGGTTAGTCCTCTACGGCTGCAAATTTCTCCCAATACTTAATTGAGTTCAAAATTACAAGGCTAGGGAGTTGAAAATTAGTAGTTGTAAACCCAAAATTGGGTCGGCTGTTCAAGGACGATTGTGAAAAATATAACAAAAAGTTACATGTATGAGTGATATGACTCAATTTAAAAACTCTATTACATTGAAGAGGAAGAATTGTGTTCTGAGAGACCCTCATGATATGAAAAATCTGGGATTCTGAGAACCCCAGAATTTTCGATTTTTCATATCATTTTTCCAGGTCTAACGACTAAGAGCAAATCATATGATTTTTTTTTCTCCAAATAGCACGGAATTCCACTTATCACAAGATCGTTGGTTTGCAAATTTTCACTTTTTTAAAACCGATATTGCATTTTGTTTTCACGCTTTTATAATGTCAAACCTGGATTTTCGTATTTATACCTGATTTAAAAGTTGCGATTCATATTCTTGTGATCTAATAATTATGCATCACAATTCGTTTTCATGTGGCGATTCTTGCTCACGAGATTTCTAAATACAATATCGCTTCTCATATTTACGCAACTTAAAAACTCAATATCGCTATTTGTATCTTCATGCTCTTAACATCCAATATCGCGACTCATATTCACACAATTTTAAAATTCAATATGGTGATTCTTATAAAGACTAAGATTTTTCTTAAATTAGAACTTCAAAAGTGTGATATTCTTCATTGGTAGGTAATTTAATTATAAATCTTAGTTCAAAATTGATATATATATATAACATGTATGGTATATAAATTAATCTTGATATCTATTTTTCACTTTGAATCACTATTTTTCCTGATTGAGATTAGAAATTTTGTTTTTCTGCAAAATATTACTTCTTTATATGTGTTTTATATACTTGTATACAATTAGCGCTCAATCATAAAATAACTTTCGTTGCTTATTAATAAATAAAAAAATTTCTTTCCCTATTGAAAAATTTTATTTGTGTAGCAAATATGTGATCTGTAACTTGGTTGCTATTTTTCTTGTTAACCTGGAAAAGTTAGGAAATTGAATGAGAAAAACTAATTAAGTGAAATGCTTGCTCTTTGTTTTTCTTTCAAAACAATACAAAGGATAATTTAAATTTTTTCTCACACAAATTAACTTCTTTTTAGGGTGTTTAATTTCTTACTATTTATTTTAGATTCGAGCTCGTGAGTCTGCTAAAATTCTGGAGAGGATGATAGAAACTCCTGATGAAACAAAGCGCAAAGTAATGCTTGAACGTCTTCCAAAGATCATTCAGATTGTGTGGCAGTATCCTTTTGAGTTATATGATCTATTTTTACTGTATTACATTGTTGATAATGTAACACATTGTTAATAATGTAACACATTTCTGAACTAGATTATTCAATTTCGTATTATTCATTGAGGTCTGATGTAAAATTGCATAGAGTTAGTACAGAAATATGGTCAAGAATTTCATTGAAAATTTTTTGATATACCTGGAAAAGTCGGGAAATTTTTTTTCTGAAATTGAATGGGGACCCTGTAGAGAGAGAGAAAAAGAAACAGTTATAATATGATAATGATATTTTAGTTGTAGCTAGCGACAGATAATAATAAACTTTTAATAACAAACTTTTCTTAAGGTATATATATTAAGTATAAGTAGACCATAATTTACATATTTGCAGAAGAATCATCAATTTTTAATTTTCCTCTTAAAAAGCCTTTTTTTTTTTTATTTCTTTATGAATTCAGATGTAAAAAGTTTACTTATTAGCCAGAGATTATAATCATTGCATCTAAATATGCATCGAAAAAAAACTTAGGAAATTATTTCCTGTATTTGTCCTCCTGATTAATATCCTTTATATGTCTTTAAGAACCTAAAGATTTTAAATGTTTTTTTTTTAATTTGAGTAAAAATAACAAATGTCAATGGAAAAACATTATTTAACTTATAAAACATTTATCGAGAGTAATGATTTATGTCTAGTCAATCATTTATCTGACATAGATTCAAGAATTTTATACAATATGTCTTTTCAAAAACATTTTAAAGTGAGGAAGAAGTAAAAAAAGTTTTTAAAAAAATAATTTGACTTTCAAAGTTAATAATCTGAAATCAATTTTGCGCATTTGAACATTTTTAACGTTATAAACTGTTATTTTAAAGCTTATTATCGTAGTTACATATTTCTAATAGAACATGCAAATGTATAGTTAGATTACATAGTTTACAATATAATTAAAAAAGCCTTTAAAGAATGCATTTTGTTATTTTTTAGGCTTAATCTAAGAACAACTGATATTAAATTTTAGGCAAATCATGTTCTTGCTTTTAAGCAGTACCAAAATGGGTATTTTTCTTAAATCTGTGTAGTTATTTTATAGCTGAAAGAAAGGCAGCTGTACCAGTTGATACTGCTATTGAGAAAATAATTCATAGCTGCAGCTCATTATCCACTCATGGTATGTCATTTTGTATTTTATGTATTGAATATAATAAAATAATTTTAATCTTGACTCTTAAATATGTTTTTTTTTCTGTAGAAAATTATGGTACTCATATGATACCTTAAGCGAATTTGATAATTATGTATGAAATAAAATAGTTGAAGATATGCATATTGCTGCTAAATTTGGTTATCTTATATTTAAGCAAGAACAATTTTTCTGAAAAAAGCAAACTTTGAAATGAAATAGTTACTAGTTATTAATTGCTTTCTTTGAAAACGTACAGTTAGAAAGATAAACTTAAATAATAAGAAATGTTATTTGAATTTTCATGGCATTGTTAAGGGTGGATATTTATTTATCTGGCTTATTTTGCTTTAAATACAATGATATCAAATATTTGCTAATTTTGTCCTTTTTGTTTGCTTTTATTTTTGCCTCATACTTATTCAAAATTAGAATGAAGCATATCAAAGCAAAAAATTGATCTTTAAAAAAATGTACCTTTCTCCATAAATATTTCTTTTACCTATAACTTCTTTTTAGGATTTTTGGAACCCTAGCCATGTTTATTACTAATATATATCATAATTCAAAATACTTATGAGTAGTTCTCATGAAAAACATGATGACTACATTTTATGAAACACTATACTTTCTGTTATAAAATCTACCAACAAGCTACTAAAAATTGAGAAAGATATTATGATGATTGTTACAATTAATTTTATGTACATTGTCCTCTTCTCAATGAGGTTAAAATTATTAAATATTGTCCTAAATCAGAATTTATAATTTTTTTTACTTTTGTTTCACTCGTAGTTTCCTTCATTCAATTTAAAGTTTATCGAGTATCTTTTCTAAAATATAAAATGAAATTCTATGCTTGTTAGACTTAGGTAACTCTTATATAATATTGTAAGATTTAAATTTTTTTTAAAAAATTTTTATTGCAAGATATACTTTTTTTTTTCAGAGGAAGTAAAAGCACATCTAACGCTGATAACTGAAGAATTTCCTGGCTGGTTATCATTTATACAAATCCCTAAAGGACTTTACATTACTATTAATAAGAATAAAAATATTACTGAGATGCTTGACAAATTTCAGCAGTGATAATTCTATTGCTTTTAAATTTTTATTCAATTTTATTAAATTTTATCGAAGCTTTTAGTTTTATATATTTTTAAAGCATGTGTGTGTGTTATATAAATAAAGTTTTTTGCAATATCATCTATTCCATTTTTATAACCACTTTTGTAATAGCTAAATTTCAGTTACATTAAATTAACTGAAACCATAATAAGTACTGAAAAATCTGTTGTTACAATATAGTTGCTGTTACATAAAACAGACTCTCCATGAGCTACAGCTGTCCGAAACAGGGTTGCCACTCCACAGGGAAAACCTGTACAATACAGGGAATTTAAAAATCACCTAAAATGCAGGGACTTCTGAGTTTATATTTAGAAACTGGGAAAATAGAGGGAATTTTGTTTCTTATTTTTGTCTTTTAAAAAATGGTAACCATTCAAAGTGCAATCTATGAAATATTTAAGGATGATATTTCAGCTATTCCTTTTTTCCTTTAAGTTTTGTCGGCAATTATAACTAGTTTAGTTAGCCCACTATAGCTCACACAGGAGCAGAGTGATTGTGTTTTTCTTCTTATTATATTGTGTACAATATGTACAGGGAAAATACAGAGAATTTTTTTTCCCTCCAGATATGAGTGGCAACCTTGCAAAAGTTTCTGCACTAACTTTTTTTGTGTCAAACTGAATTCTCTGTTCAGTGAGAAAGTGTTCTGTACAGGGTGCTTACAAAATATTGTTACAAATTTTGAATCATTTCATTTCACAGAAAGTAGAAAATATAAACTCTATAAATGGTAAAAAAAAAAGAAAGAAATTATATTCGAATCGATCGCCATCTTTAGGATTACTAAACATAATCTCTTGCACCATTGTCCGATAGCTGCACAAATCATTTTAAGAGGTAATTTGTTCAATTCGGACAATAAAGAAGCTCTGAAAGAGTCCAAACAACTGTGCTGCTTGGCATTAGCTTATGACTCTATAATCCCTCAAACACAATAGTCTAAAGGATTTAGATCTGGTAAAGAAAGGGGGCCCATCTTCTTGCTTTAGGCAATTCACATGGAGCCAAACTTTTGTTGTTTTGGTTCTGTGCAATAGTGAAGAATCTTGCTGAAATATCCAATCCTTTTTGGGATACTATCTGTCAGCATGTGGTAAAAAAAGTGTAGCCAATGCTTGCTTTTTGTTATATTCAACTTTGTTTTTTACCCCTTTATTAATGAATTTCAGCGGAAATTTTTCATTACTTGACACTGCAGCGCAAACCATCATAGAATTCTTGTTCTGGAAGCATTGCACAGTATGAACATTTTCAGGAATATTGTGGAAGGTTGCTAAATATGCAACATTACTTGTAGCATTATAATTTTGTTCTGTGAAAATATTTTGTCATCAGAAAAGATTATTCTGTCAACACTTTTGCTACCGTACTAATTCAGCAATTTCTTTCATCTTTGTAAAGTTCTAATTTTTGTGTAGTTGTCAAATCTTGAGATAACCTTAGCCAAGTCTTCATTTAATATAACTGGCATAGTTCTCTGACTCAGGTTCTCTTCTGCAGCCATTTTATTTCAGAACAGTGTGGATTTCTTCATTTCTTTTCAAGACTTCTTTTAAGAATGAACTGAGCATGGACAGCCAGATCTGGTTCAATCTTCAAAGTTATTTCTATTAGTATCCAATAATCGATATATAGTTGTATATGCAAATTTTTTATTAAACCTATGAAATTTTTATTGTTTAAAGATTCTATCCACAATCTAAAAGCTATTTAACCATCAACCTTTTAGATTCCATCTTTAAACTGATTCGAAATATTTTGCTTTAAATAAAAATCATCTGCACTTATAGAAAGTATGTCTCACAGAAGTAATGGGAGAGGCAATTGTTTTACCAAACGATTAAAATGAATTCCTATTTTTTGGAATGTTACAGTAATTAGTAGCCACCCTGTAATTTGGATTTTACAAGAAATGTTTATTAGCAACTGTGAATTTAAAAACTATTCATTGCCACTATAAACTCTAAGCAATTAGTACATTTACAATTAAAAACAAACGTGGAGGAATGTTTTATGATGATTTTTTATAAAAATGACAATTGAATCGCCATCTGTTACAAATCAATTATGTGAAAAATAAGTTCTCCCCGAGAGTTAAAACACAATGAAAATGGTCTGCACTGTGTTAAAACCCTTCCTCTTGCACGCAAAATCGTTTTTTTCTCTGAATCACACAGCTTTTATAAAAATAAACCGTTGTTTTTTCCTGTGGTCTTCAATTGTAAACATAGTACCGTAATCGTTATATGGAAAACCTATGAATTCTATGTTTGATGGTACGTAGTAAGGCAGTTTTTTAAAAATATATAACATTTTCATAATTTATTTAATATATTGAAATTAATTTTCTTTTTCAATTTGCTATTTCTTTTACTGGAATAAAGGTTTTAAGAACTTCTCTTTCGTTCAATTTTTCTAAAAATTATATGCAGATAAACTATGGGAAGTTTTTATATCTAGGTGAGAATCACGAAATTGCAATTACAAATTGATGATGTTACTATGCATGCAAACTATTGTATAACTTATTAACAGCACGCAGAAAAATTAACGGATCACCCTGAATAACTTATGATCAGATCTTTCAAGCCTCAAACTTAATGGTTCAACAGAGTAACATCAAATAAGCTAACTAATTAGTGCAAATGATATTAAAAGTTACGAAATCAGACACAAAACGTACTTTCTCGATTCATATTTTATATAATAATTGTCGTAAAACTTTAAATTTTAAGTTCTACAAATTTTACGTCATTTCTTAGAATGTATTTTTGGTGGCAAAATTTAAGCGAAATCCGTCAAATATATATTTCTCGTATATTTTTTCTATATCGGTCAAATATATATTTCTCTCAAGTGAAAACGACGAAAGTCCCTATTCTTTTTTCGCTTTGCCAACAAGGAATTAAAATAAAATACCAATCTCGTGAGCTGTTGTTGTTGTTAATTTGCGTCGCACTAGAGCTGCACAATGGGCTATTGGCGACGGTCTGGGAAACATCCCGGAGGATGATCCGAAGACATGCCATCACAATTTTGATCCTCTGCGGAGGGGATGGCACCCCCGCTTCGGTAGCCCGACGACCTGCGCGCGAAGTCGAGCACTTTACGGTAGCACAGTTTAACGAGGACCAATACCGCACACCCTCGGTCCCTACGCAGACTGATCCAAGTGGTCACCCACCCGCACACTGACCGCAGCCAGTGATGCTTGACTTCGGTGATCTGTTGGGAACCGTGTCTTAACTATCAGTCCACTGCGGGACCTTGTGAGCTGCCACTAGCATGAAAGCGTAAACATGCACATATTTGTAAATTTCTGAATGAAAAGTCTTTTCTATGCGTGTAAAACAAAAAGCTGAAACAAACTGAGCTAAAAGTTTATAGTTATAAAACCTCTGGGGAGGACCACCTCTATGTGCGACCACTTTTGGGGAGGTACAGAATTTTTTCCATTGACTTTATGTTAAAGAAAACCTGCAGGAGAGACCACTAATACCTCTTCCAGTGACAGGGAAAACATCTGCACCAAATGCGGAAAAAGCCCCCCCCCCGAAAAAAAAGTTAAAAACAAAACAAATAAGTATATTAAAAAGATATTTATGTAAGGCTCTTATTTAGGAAGCTCTTTTTGACGATATAACCTCACGTAGCAGTTAGAGTGCTCAAACCAGGCCCGTAGCAAGGGGGGGGGGCGTGGGGACAAATCACCCCCCCCCCCCAAAAATTCTGGAATTCAAACTTTTTAATCTTTCTTTGAGCCTCTCAGTAAAAACAAAAACTGTCGAATCAAACCTTTTATTAACTAACTTTATCAAGCATATTTCGGGATATTCCGGTTTGTCCTAAAAAGGTAATCGAAAATTTTTCTTCAAATCCCCGTCTCATGTCTTTGTTTACAAATTGATTATAATTATTATGTAATATTAATCGAAAAATAATTATTATGTAATATTTTTTAATTACTAGTTTAACTTTTNCACACCCTCGGTCCCTACGCAGACTGATCCAAGTGGTCACCCACCCGCACACTGACCGTAGCCAGTGATGCTTGACTTCGGTGATCTGCTGGGAACCGTGTCTTAACGATCAGTCCACTGCGGGACGTTTAACTTTTGCAAACAACAGAATAAACAATATTTGTTTTCAATGTTTTTCCCCTACTTTGCATGTCTGAAACCGTCCTTGCTTCTTACCATATCCCCCCCCCCACCGAAAAAATATCCTGGCTCCAGCCTTGGTTCAAACATATTTTTTTGAAAGGAAAAAAAATAATATCTTTGTAGTATTCTGTTAGGAAATGTTTACTTAGATTAGTGCCCCGTTTTTCATGGTAATTTTTACAAACTCAAAAACTCTTTACGCTAGAGAAATGTAAATTCCAAGTTTGTTTAAGTTTGAATGAATGAAGTTTAAAATTACTTATTAAATGGTAACACAGTTTTTATTTTGACTATAACGCTAAAAATATTTAAAATTTTTTGATGTCGCTAACTTTTTAGTTAAGTCAAACGAGGAGAACTCTGATGAACCATTATTGGAGCTCATCAGAGCAAAGGAAGTATTAAAATAATCAAACATTATTTTGGTCGAATGTACCAATCAAAACTTCTGCTAGACAAACTCGTTTTTTGAAGACTGAAACCCTTCCGTTTGCTATGATCAACCAATGTTGATATGAAACGGATATTCGCAAAAAATACTCATGACAATAAGAAATTCCTTATTGAAATGGTAAAAGGGTGAACTTGTTTTGAGAAGAACTTCGCTTTTGGGAGAACCCCTTTTATTTTCTTCCTTTTTTTTTAGTTCAATTATGAAGCTTTTGCCGTCAAGCATAATGATGAAGATTTTACACAGTTTGATATGGCATTGCGGAATTTTGTTTCAAGACAAAACTGGATTGCACACAGTAACAGTAAAGTTACTGATCTAGTTTAGCTTTAGTTATTTCAATTTTTTTTTTTTTTTTTTTTTGATTTTTTCTTTAAATTTGAGTTGTAAGCTGGTATTTTGGCAGTTAAATAAAACAGACGCACAGAAACCAAACACTTGACCTATATCCTCTTTTCAAAGAAATATCTAATTAATAAATAAAAACAAAACTTTTTATTTACATGAATATTAAGGTATTTAATGTGACCAAAATTTTTGCATTGTAGTATTGAAAGGAAGAACTATGACAAGCTTCAGAGGTAAAGCCTGATAAAAACAAATATATTATGTTTAAACAATATTTGTTAGAAATAACTTATACGCATATATAATCAGTCAAACTATGTAGAATATATAGCATATGCATTGAAAAATCTTTAATTAAAATAAATTAACTGTAATTATAACAATAACACATAATAATGCAATAACACTTGTTATTTTTGTTTTAACTAGTAAAAACAACAGTAGTTTACGAAATAGCTGCTAAAGAAAAATGTGACGTTTCCGTTCAACGTACTTTTTTTTTATACAAATACTTTTTTTTTATATCTTCTTCTCAATTAGATCTTATTAGAAAAAATATTTGTTTTAAATATTTTTAATTTTGAAATGATGACCACATGTTTTAATAAAAATAGTTTAAAAATTTTTTAAGAAACAAAAACTTTTTTTATGGTTTCGGACGAAAAAGTAAAAAATAAAGTGTTACTAGTTAGTTAGTTTCTAGCCTTACTTAATTTTTCAGATATTGTGTTTATTTTATAAAATTTTATCATAAAATGTGCTGCAACAATTTCTTATGACGAATTCCGCATCCGGCTTGCACCGACCACAGTGCTGGCGTAAAATATCCTCAGTGGCAGACGGATCATGAGTTAAACTCCCCTTGCCATCAGGCTAACCGAGGGAGATTTTCTTGGTTTTCCTCTCCATGCAACGCAAATGAAGGTTAGTTCCATTAAAAAGTGCTCCACGAAGGCAAATATCTCCTTTTACTTGATCCAGGAGTTCCTTTGTCTTCTGGATTGGGTTCATAATTACAAGGCTGTGGAGTTGAACATTAGTAGTCATCATTCCGAAATAATTGGGTCGGCTCTTTAACCATGGTTATAACTGAGGCCCGGATTTTGATGACACTTGCATTTTTGGACCTTTTTTTGTCTTTTAGAGCATTTTTTTTAGATTTATAGGGCATTTTTCTTTAAATTTTGGAGCGTATTTTGCATTTTAATGCATTTTTTAAAGTTTTTTGTTAATTTTTTCCAATTTCTATTATTTTTTTTTATCAATGTTCATTATTACACTGGCTTCCAAACAATGAAGAAAATCTACAGANTTAAATTTTGGGGCGTATTTTGCATTTTAATGCATTTTTTAAAGTTTTTTGTTAATTTTTTCCAATTTCTATTATTTTTTTTATGAATTTTCATTATTACACTGGCTTCCAAACAATGAAGAAAATCTACAGAATATTAACAGGTGAAGCAAAATCTTTTCAAATTGAAGAAGAATTGTCAGTAAGTGAGACCGTCTTTTTCAAGTACGCACCTGTAACTTCAGTAGACGTTGAAAGAAGCTTCTGCAGGAATGAAAATTTACTTTCAGACAAGAGACGCTCGTTTACATTTCAAATTATCAAAAAACATTTAATAATCCAATGTAATTCTGATATTTAGTAATATTATGAGATGGAAGTTGTTATATCCATTAAAGTTTCTATACAAAATAAAAATATTTTGGTGTCAATATATTTTCCTTTTTTTGTTATTTTAGGATATAAAACATATTTTTCAAACTTTAATGAACGTAGAACAAGTATTGCATTGCTTTATATTTTTTAAATGACTCATAATAATTTTAAAGAGAAAAAAAAATTTTAATTCAATATTTTTACCTTATTTAAGGCATTTTTTGCGCAATTTTTGGATTTTTAGGGGCATTTTTTGCACTTTTTAAGGGCATTAATTGCACTTTTTAAGGGCATTAGTTGAGATTTTTTAGGTCATCAAAATCCGGGCTCTAGTTATAACACATTTCAAGATAAAATCTCACACGCTTGACGTCGCTTGCAGGCAGACATTAAATTACATCTGATACAAAAATTAATTCAGTGTGTTAATAAACTAAAGCCCTAAATCTGAAACATTAACACATCGTTCACAACTACGTGATTAGTTGGAAGCCCCTGATAACCGTTCATTTAACTTTAGGAATACTAATTCAGTGACATAGCACCACACATGCACTACACATAGCACTTTGATGACAAAGCTTAAAAAAGTAATTAAACAGTGAAAGACGAAAGTGCAATTAAATCTGACTTAGAATCGTCTACAGTTCCATTTACAACAATGGCTAATATTAAACAAATGCAAAAAATCTCTCTCTCTCATGGTCTCCGGATCATGGGTTAGAATCCCCTTGCCGTCGGGATAACCAAGGAATGTTTTCGTGTTTTCCCTCTTTATTTAACACAAATGCGAGGGTTATTCCATCAAAAAGTCCTCCACGGAGGCTATCTTGTCCCAATCCTTGATCCAGGAGTTCCTTTGCCTTCTGGGTCGGGTTCAAAATTACAAGGCTAGAAAGTTGAATATTGATAGTCACAAATTCAGAATTGGAACTGCTGTTCAACACCAGTTATAAACTATAATACTGGAAGGCAGGTAATCACGACGCCAAAAACATCGTAGCCAGTGCCCAACGTTTTAGCAAACATAATATTAAAGCAAAAAACTATCACGTTAATTCCATTCCACAGCATGCTAGCAACTTATTGGTCCTGTATTCTGGAAATTTTGCAGTTTTGTACACTTCTCTTCATAAACATTTAATACAAATTATTGTCTCGATTAATTTCAGAACTTTTTTTCCAGAAGTATGAACTATCGGATAGTACCAAGTAAAAGCGTATTTTTAATCATTATAATGACATGTCAGGAGCTAAATTACGCTACTCAAAGAACTCTACAAAGACCATGGAAAGCAGGACCAAATTTCTTAACAGCGAAAAATGACATCGGTACACACCTACTTAGGAACATGGAATTCCAGAACAATTTAAACGCATTGACAAAAGTTGGCGAGAAAAATGGCAAACAGGTTCAAGACATCCCAGAATTAGTGAATGTCAGGACAAACAAAAGGAGCATAAAAATAAAAAAGAGCATACATAAAAGAGGAAAAAATAAATCTCCTTCAGCGACGAATACGATGTCCTACGATTTTCTAAATTACTTTAATAGTACTAGAGTATACGATTCGAAACATTGGACTACTATTACCAATCAAAACATGATGACCCAAAAGTCTGAAATCAGCGATTTAAAAACTTTTCTCGAAAAATCGAATGAAATACAAAAAGCCATTGAAGCACCGAAAGACGAAGATTTTCTTCGAATCAAGGTAAAGGAGAGTAGGTATGTTTATTAATTATAACCTAATGTAATAGTAAAAATAAATGTGAAAAAAAATTGAGCAGAAAAAAAAAGCTTTTTTTAAATTAAAAGAAATTTTAAAGTACAATTAATTTTTCTTGAAATTATGCATTATAAAATAAATAAAAACTCACCTACATTTTTTTTATCACATTGACAAAACTACCTACTGTGTGTGTTAACGAAAATAATTATATTAAGTTTATAAATTGTTTTTTTTTATCATATAATTTAGCAGTTTTTGTAGGAGATTTTTCCCAGGGCAGATAAAATACAATAGACATTTTTAAAGTGAGGTAAATCTAATTTATTTAATATTAATTAATATTAATAATTATTTAATATTAATTTAAGGATTTGATATTATTTTCTAATTATTAATTTTCGCCATCGACGACAAGAGTCAACATTACACTCACCTTCTGCTACTTAAATTATTTATACAACTGCACATTGCTCTATCCCAGACGCATCTATTTTAGTACGGCTTTGCATTCACTTTAAATGTTTTCATGCGAACTACTCAATCAATTGCAGTGAACTCTTCTTACTTTAATTTATAATTGCGCATGGTGGCACGGCTATCTTAACTGCATATCTAATGTCTAATGTAATGTAATAATCTCAATTTTCATTTGGGCAACCCTTAAAAGTTAAACTATTAACTAAAAAATAATTAACTGAGGGGCCGGGATAGCCTGGTTGGTAGAGCATTGGGCTCATGTCCAAGAGGGCGTGGGTTTGATTCCGAACACCCCTCGTGTAGTAAATGGTGACTGATGCATGTTAAATCTGTCGAGTCACAAGGTCCTCAATGTTCCCACAACAAATCATACCTCTGGGGGTACTGATCCAAGAGTTTCCTTGTCTTCTGGATTGGTTCAAAATTACAAGGCTACGGAGTTGAACATTAGTTGTCGTAAACTCAAAATTGGGTCTGCTGTTCAACGATGGTTATAAAATAAAATATTAGACTAAGAGCCGTGATGGCTCAGGGGATAGAACACTCGCCTTCTAATGGGGTAAACCGGGTTCGAATCCCAGTGATGACTGGTTGATACGAATTCCGCATCCGGCTCTCACCGACCAAGGTGTTGACGTAAAATATCCTCAGTAGTAGATCATGGGTTAGAGTCTCCTTGCCGTCAAGCTAACAGTGGAAGGTTTTCGTGTTTTTCCTTATCATGTAACGCCAGTGCTGGTTAGTTCCATCGAAATTCCTGTGCGAAGGCAAATTTCTCCCTATACCTGATCCAAGAGTTCTCTTGTGTTCTGGAATGGGCTCGAAATTACAAGGCTACGGAGTTGAACACTATTAGTCGTAAACCCAAAAATTGATTCGACTGTTCAAACACGGTTATAAATAATAATAATAATAAATGGGGCCGGGATATCCTGGTCGGTAGGGCGCTGGGCCCGTATCCAAGAGGTCGTGGGTTCGATCCTCGCCGGCCGAAGACTCCCCGTGTAGTAAATGGTGACTGATGCACGTTAAATCTGTCGAGTCTCAAAGTCCTCCATGTTCCCACAACAAATCAATACCTCTGGGGGTACTGATCCAGGAGTTTCCTTGTCTTCTGGATTGGTTCAAAATTACAAGGCTACGGAGTTGAACGTAAGTAGTCGTAAACCCATGAAATTGAGTCGACTGTTCAACGACGGTTATAAAATAAAAATAAAATAATAATAAATGGAAGCAAATAATGAATAAATAAGTTAAATAATAGTTAATAATTTAAAGCATTAAATAAATTCTTCACTTTTGAATTATTCTATATATGAGCAAGCATTAAAAAATCAGTGACAGATTGCAACGCAGTGACGATACGTGATGAAATTTGTTTTAGAGACTTGCGTTATAACATTTTGATGCAACTTCGCATCACTGCAATTTTATATTTTTATGACGCAACTTATCACTGAATTTTATCTCCTGCGTTGGAGAATAGACCTGTGTATCCACTTTATTTTTTATAGTGACGAGATGATCAGTGCTTTGGTTAATTTTGGTTCTGATTGTGATCGCATAGACCGCCAGGCGTGTTGGTTTGTTCGTGGAATCGGAGACACACTCACTCTTGGAATAAACATTAGCATCTCTAAAGAATTCAAAGAATTTTCCATCCAGTGGAGAAAAATTTACAAGCAACGCCAGAAGAAGAAAGCGATGAATATCAAGATAGAAGCAGGTAAATATCTTGCAGTACATAAGAAACTTTCAATTGCAGTATAAAAAATTCATTTGTCGGAATATCTCCGCATGTTTAACGGTTTATAGCTGTTTTGTTGACAAAACGGTTTTTCTTCGTATCTAATCACAACGGATTAAAACCGTCAGTTGAAATTCTAGTTTTTTCTCATGAAGGTCTGCGTTCCGTAATATAACTTTACGTTTTCTCCGCTCATTTTGCGATTACTTTCTATAATTGCTCTTATTTTTTAGTAATAATTTTATGGTTTTCAATATCGTATAAATAAAGCTACGATTCGACTTTGTCAAATCGAAACAATATTGATGCGAAATTTTCTGTACATCTGGCGCGAGTTCAAATTAATTTCGTAATTTTCACGGAGAAAAATTGTTCGCATATGGTAAAAGTCTCCTGAGAACAGATTTATTTTTGTCGTAAAACAGGTTTTCTTCGTATTTTTAACGGAAAGAAAAGCTTCTTCTTGTACGGTAAAAACGGTTATAAAGTTACGGATAATCTTCTAAATTTTACGGTTTTGCACAACCAACCCAAGCTGCTGGTTTAAAATCGTAAATTTTAAGTGATTTTTTTTTTTTACAATGAGTCATTAATTTAAAAATAATTTAGATGCCAAGTTTCCATAATTATTCTAATTCTATAACTTTATATTATTTATTGAAAATCTCATTTGTTAAATATGATTCCTTTCGTTGAGGCCTCAGGTCGGTATAGTCATCGAATTTTGAGTTTAGTTAAATACCTACTGTGAATAATTTGATCGGTAACAGGAGTTTCTAGACTTTTGAAGTATAGACGGAAACATGGTTCAACTCAACACATGACTCTTGTTTTATAAAGGATTATATATCTTAGTATAGTATCGTTAAACTGAGAAATTTTATTTAAAATAACAGAACACCTCGTTTGGACGACCCTCTTTTATCTATGAATTCTTGCTCCCACTTCTTCTTGATCAGCACTACCGTCTAGTCTAGGCCAAGGCTTTCTCAATTTGCTTCTCTCAAATAGAGTGATTCGATGTATGATTTTGCTGTCGATCCATTCCTATAGTTCGTTCCGAGATCTTTATCGACGCAGTCCAATCATCTTTTATATGGTAGACCTCTTCTTCTATTTTCCTAAAATTTTTGAAAATGTTGCTCTAACGAGGTGAACCGGGTTCGAATCCCAGCGATGGCTGTTCGATACAAATTCTGCATTCGGCTTGCACCGAGCGATCACAGTGTTGGCGTGAAATATAATTAGAAGTAGACGGATCATGGGTCAGAGTCTCCTTCTGGGAGGTTCTCGCGGTCTTCTATTCCATGTAACGCAAATGTATATTAGTTCCATCAAAAAATCCTCTTTGAAGGCGAATTTCTCTCAATACTTGATTAAGAAATTCGCTTATCTTCTTGGATTAGGTTCCAAATTGCAAAGCTACGTAGTTGAACATTAGCAGTCGCAATTCCAAAAATTGGGTCTACTGTTATAAAAAAAATATATAAAAATAAAATATGACCCAGCCATCTAATTCTGTACTATTTGATCAGTTTTAAAAATTTGGCGTGTCGAAATTTATTACATAGTTCACGATTACACCAATTTCCCAGGTGATGTAATTTCCTTAAACGGTATCAGGAAAAACAGAAGAGGAGAATTCTGTTATTCAATTTATTGATTTTTCTAATGTTTGAAGTTTCCTCTTCTGGCGTATATAGTGTGGCGTTTTCACAGCCAGACAAGATTTATGATCATTTTAATGTTACGTTGACATTTATTTCAGAACTTAAGGAAATAAATTTTCATTGGATTCGACGTTTTAGCCCGAAAGCAGCTTCCATTTGCCTTTATATAAAACCTGTACACTATTTCACTCTCAGTTAAATCCTATTACGCATTTTACATTTAATTAAAAGTTAGCTTTTTGTTCATATTAATGAATTGATCAACAATTAATTTTTCTCCACTTTCTTTCTTTAAATATTCAATTTTGATGGGGAAAATATAGTTCGTATTGTGCCTAATAGAGTGAAAAAAAATGGCGTTGCATCGTCGGTTATTTTTATACAGTTAATTAAAAGAAACAAAAATAAACTCCGAAGGTAAGCGAGGTAGAATGTGAGAGATGATATCTAAAAGAAATGAGTGATGCAGGATATTTCGTTATGCCTGACTTTAATATGTAATTTCATAATCCTCGACAAAAATAAGCTTAAAAAAAGCATACACATTGGATGCTGCAAATTAACATTTAAGCTAAGAAATCACCATTGAGGAAGGTGAGACTGAAAAAATCTGAACCTACTTGATTGCAGTAAAAACAGAGAGGAGTTGAAATTATGAACATCTCTAAACACACCAGGAAATCAAACTGGCTTTCACGTTTTTCAACCAACTTTCTTCAATAGTGAATCGATGCATTTCAATTGCTTTTTCGTTCTTCACCCGCTTAAAAACTTATTTGCGATTCGTAATATGTGCATTTTTCTTTACTTCATTTTTGACAAGGATTCTAAAAGTATATATTTAGGGTGATCATAATGGAACACTCTGTATGGTTAGTGACGTCTAAAAAATACGCTATTCTCTTATAGCCCACAAAGTTCAATGCTACAAAATTTAATTATTTATTAAAATAAAATCTCAGTTTTGTGATATGAGTTTTCTTCTAATCATAGCCAAGCCATTTTGCGAATTCTCATATAAAAAAGGTCCAAGACCGGAAAACTCGCCCCTGACTTCTATTACTCTGACTAAGGCTCCTTAAATATGCACTTGTTATGAACATTGATATTATTAAATAAGATTATCATATTATTCAAAAAAATAATAGAATAGTTCTTCAAAGTGAATTTGGAGTATAAATTGAAAGATTAGGGTAATTTTAAATGTACAGCGAGCAAAATAAAAACGGACCACCCTGAATAACTTTTGATCTAACAATCGGATCTTCACGTTCCAGGATTCAAATCATAATGGTTTCTTGGAGTGACTTCAAAATATGCTAATTAATTAGTGCAGACGATATTTTAAGTGACGAAATCAGACATAAAAACGCACTTTCTCTGATTAAACATATCTTTTGTTTTTACGAATTCGGATTTCTAATCCCCCAGGTATTGGGTGTAGCTGCAATCTGAGAAATATGGTCCAAATAAATTTTTTTTTTTTTACAACTAATGTTCAACTCCGTACCCTTGTAATTTTGAACACGATCTAGACGACAAGGGAACTCCAGAATCACGTATAGGGAGAATTTTGCCTTCTTGGAGAACTTTTTATGGAACTAGCCCGCTTTTGCGTTACATGGAGGGGAAAATCACGAGAACCTCCCACAGTTAGTCTTTTGGCAAGGGGACTCTAATCCATGACCCGTCTACCACTTAGGATATTTCACGTCAGCACTGTGGTCGGTGCGAGCCGGATGCTGATTCATATCGACCAGTCATATCGCCGGGATTCAAACCCGGTTCACCTCATTGGAAGGCGAACGCTCTATCCCCTGAGCAATCGCGGCTCTCAAAAGTATATTTGAGATTATCCTTAAGATAGAGTCCTAGAGCAGGAAGATCCAATCATTAGATCAAAAGTTATTCAGCCTATTTTTTTATTTTTCACACAGTACATACATCCTTAATATTTAAATCTACAAGAAAACAATGTCGAAAAATTAATTATTAATGTGTAAAAGATCTTCGTTAGGAGGGGGGGGGGGAAGAATAATACAAAACAGGCCATTTTAAAGGAATGTCCTACAAACATTTTTCCAAATATTGAATAACATTGAATTAAATGTATGTATTTATTATAATAGATCGTTTGCCTTGGAATATGGTGTTGGGAAGTGGAGGTCGAGAACTTCGATTGAATCCTATAACCAATTCAGATATAGACCCAAATAGAATATCAGCCAAAGTCTATCAAGTTGTGCAGACAGAAAGCAACGTCGAAAAATATCACCTCATCAAGGAGCTTAAATTTCGCATCGATGTTCCTCCAATAGGTAAGCGAAATAACCTTAAAAACTTGTTTTTATCTCCTGCGTTACAGTTTTTATAAACTTTAGCGTGACATGCAGAAAGAAGAGAAACAATTAAAGAGACACATTGGAACAAGAAGATGTTCGATATTCACAATAACGAATTAACGTTTGCCCATGTCCTCTGACCATTCTCTAAAGAAAATTTTTTTAAAATAATTTCCGAGAATTCAGAAACAAAAAAATAAAGTACTCTAGCAGCAGTCAGTTTTGTTTTATTACAAGCATTAAGCTACCGATTCTTTTTTAATTTGCAGCTGAACTCCGGAGCTTTGTAACAGACAACTATTGGCGGTTGGTGCTTCTTAACTGTTTCATTTCCTTTGCAAATACACTCTATAACAAAAAAATCGACGCACCAAGAACGCACTAAGACGCGCAAAATCGACGCTCGATCAGGCTTGAATGATGCAGACTGGGGACGTATAGTCTTTAGCGACGAACCCCGTTTCCAACTGTGTCCTGACGATCACCAAAGACGTGTTTGGATACGCACAGGGCAGAGGGGGGGTCCTGCCTTCACTATTGCACGCCACACCGGCCCTCAACAAGGCATTATGGTCTGGGGTGCCATTTCCTTAAANCAATTTTGAGTTCACGACTACCAATGTTTAACTCCCTAGCCTTGTAATTTTGAACCCAATCCAGAAGACAAGGGAACACCTGGATCAAGTATAGGGAGAAATTTGCCTTCGTGAAGGACTTTTGATGAAAATAACCCGCATTTGCGTTACATGGAGGGGAAAACCACGAGAACCTCCCACGATTAACCTGACGCCAAGGGGACTCTAACCCATGATCCGTTTTCCACTGAGGATATTTCTCGTCGCCGTCAGCACTATGGTCGGTGCGAGTCGGATGCGGAATTCGTATCAACCAGCCATCGCCGGGATTCAAGCCCGGTTCACCTCATTGGAAGGCGAACGATCTAGCCCCTGAGCCATCACGGCTCTTAAAAGTATATTTGAGATTGTCCTTAAGATTGAGTCCTAGAGTAGGAAGATCCGATCATTAGATCAAAATTTATTCAGCACGGTACGCTTTTTATTTTGTACACTGTACATACATCCTTAATACTTAAACTTACAAGGACACAATGTCAAAACATTAATCATTAATGTGTAAAATCCGAAAATATAAAGACCTATAGTTAGGAGGAGAGAGAAGAATAATGCAAAACAGGCCGTTTAAAAGAATGTCTCACAAACATTTTTCCAAATATTGAATGACATTGAATTAAATGCATGTTTTTATTATAATAGATCGTTTACCTTGGAATATGGTGTTGGGAAGTGAAGGTCGAGAACTTCGATTGAATCCCATAACCAATTCAGATGTAGACCCAAATAGAATATCAGCCAAAGTCTATCAAGTTGTGCAGACAGAAAGCAACGTCGAAAAATATCACCTCATCAAGGAGCTTAAATTTCGCATCGATGTTCCTCCAATAGGTACGCGAAATAACCTTAAAAACTTGTTTATATTTTCTGAGTTACAGTTCTTATAAATTTTAGCGTAATATGAACAACAAAGAAGGGAAACAACTAAAATGACCCATTGGAACAAGAAGATGCTCGATATTGACAATAACTAATTAACATTTGCCCATGTCCTCTGACCATTCTCTCTACGAAAAAAAAAATATTAATAATTTTGGAAATTCCAAAAACAAAAAAGTAAAGTGCTCCCGCAGCAGTCAGTTTTATTTTATTATAAGCGCTAAGCTACCTATTGCTTTTGAATTTTCTGCTGAGCTTTATAATAGACAACTATTGGTGGCCTTCTTAACTGTTTCATTTCCTTTGTAAATATTTGTCTCAACTTCTTGTTGATCTCGGAAGCCTGGAAAGATATTTAACCGGTCCTGTCACGTAACAAGTTATATCTTGCCCTACTAGAGATTATGCTGAGAGACCATATATTATGCTCCTTTCTTTGCGGTGAGAAAAATAAAGACACTTCTAAGCGGGTGTTGGTTTGAATCTAGAACACAATTGCAACATATAACTACGGTTTTGCTATAAGCTCGGTTAGCAGCTAATTCCACTTCATCACAAAATGAAAAGATGACTTGTTGTTCATTCTGAATAGAACCTAGATGACGATGGAGCTTTTTGAAGAAGAATTGGAACAAACTAGCTTTCGTCTGAGACATTTTAATAGAACTACTCTGTATTTGCATTAGAATAAGAGAAAAATTCCAAAAATATTTTTAGATTAGCCGAACAGCAACAGAAATCTTACCCATGATCACGCCAACACTGGAGATCTATTCAGATTCCTGATGAAAGAACAGATCTGTTATTTTTAGATAAGCAGATCAGTCAGTGGATACTGATCGTTTTCCTGCATTATTAGGTTCAAAACACCGGGATTAAAAAAAAAGGCATTACAAACCTAAAATTAATCATACGGAAACACATTTTTAGAATTACGAAGTAATTTTATAAAAAAAAAATTACAAGCTCAGAAAATAAAAACAAAAATCATACTGATAAAATATCACAAATGGTTTTTACTCTTTGAAGAGCTGGGATTTTCATCGCTAACCACAAATAGAACAAAATTACGTAAAAATTCATTTAAATAAAGTGTTCTACCAGATCCAAACTAAAATAATTTTGACAATAGTGGTGTTTTATTTCTAAAAAAAATGTTTGCCCTTAAGGGAAAAGGCTTCATTAATGAAGCTTTTTAATATTAAAATGTTGCCCTAAAGTTATGGAAACTGAAGTTCTTTACTTATTTATCTGTTTGTTAATTCATAAATTTATTTTGTTTAGATATGGGTCGAGTGTATTATGGCGAAGAGCTGAACATCAACATGGAAAACTTTTTGACCTTACCAGAGAAAGGTAATCTCGATTTCGAATGGAGTGTAGAGAAACCAGAAGGAGATAAAGAGTCCCTGCCTAGCAATGTCAAAATCAGTTCTTCTGGGAGATCGATTATAGTTAAAGAACTGAAGAATGGTCAAATGAAAACCATAAGTTGCGTAGTTTTTTCTTTGAATGGAATTGCAATAGCTAAACGAAGATTTAAAATACGAGAATTAGGTAAGGATATTATATACCATTAACAGTTATCGAAGTTTAAGGCAATTTTTTGCTATACCTGAAAGTCTTGACGGCAATTATATACAGCTTCCTAACTTACTATGGTTGGAGTTGTAGAACACCCTTTTTTATGTACAACAGAGAGCCTACCCAATGTATGCTCTCTGACAATGCATCTGCCTATCTGTAATGTGTATGTCTATCTGCAATGCATCTGTCTATGACAGAGACAGATTAAAGACAGATCCAAAGGTCCTTAGTTGGAAAATAGCTGATGATCAACGAACATCTCTCCCACACTACTCTACATTGGCTACCACGAACACGCACACACAACTCTCTCAATCTTCAATCGATTGCAACGCAACACAATTTTGTTTCGTTCCGTTGTTCGCTTTGACACGAGAAAACAATTTCTCAGTTCTTAATCAACGTCAAAGCCCGAACCACACTGGGATGATGACCAAGAAATTAAGAGGGTACAGCTTAACATTTATTTCTAAACGTTTAAGGCTCATTTCTTTTTCAAGTCCTATACATTGGTTTAAAAAAAAATTCCAGAATGCATCATTATTTATTTATTTATTTTTTTCAGTTTCGCAAGATGACATGAGAAGAAAGTCAGTGTCAAGGAGAGGAAGCCAACTGCAAGAAGATAATGAGGACAGTTACTTTTTTGATGATTCCCCTCATAAAAAATGTCTTCTCGTTCAAAATAAAAACGTAAACGTTAATGATTTCATGAAACCGATTTCCCGTAGGAAAAGATACAGAAAAGATTCCAAGATCCTCCCACTTATTTATGGTATTTATAAAAAGTACATACTAAGGGTTGTCATTACAGAACATCCTGCATATACATACTAACTATAACTCTATAAATTCCATTAAAATCCATTCCACTGCGTACACAAAATTGGTACCATTAAATTAGTTCCATATTTTAACCCAAAAGCTTCAATTAAACTCTAGTTGCTGTTGTCATAGTCCATTAAGGCACTGGGGTGCGATTGTTCTTGTTTTCCAGTGACGCCATCTATGGACAATAATTCGAATTCTGCCACACCCGCTTATAGGGTGGACCCATTCACAGATCGTAATTTTGACCTGAACCAGAGAACGATCAATCTCCAATCCAGTACTCCCAGAAGTATAATTTGTTAAGGGAACAAAGGGGACTTTATAACCCGACAGATTTAACGTGCAGCGGTCACCATTTACTACACGGAGAGTCTTCGATCGGATGGATTCGAACTCGCGTTCTCGCGAATGTGAGTCCAGCACCCTACCGACCAGGCTATCCCGACTATTAAACTCCAGTTAAATCTGTAAATCACATCGTTTGCGCCATGAAAATCAAACAAATAGCAATGGGCAAATATGATATATTTTTTAAAGTGTTCATATTCTTGGAATGTTCAGAACGATTCCCATATTTATATGACATTAATTCTATCACTATCATACTTGAACTGACATCAGAGACACTAACGTTCCATGTCGTTTTTCTCCTTAGAATAAAACCATCTGCAGTTAATAAATAGACCCCATATCGTCTTATGCATTATTGAGGTATCCAAGATAGAAGTATTTAAAGCAGATTTTAATTGAATTTGAACTTACTATGGCATCTATCTAAGGTGCATTACTTTCTTTACAGAGTGCTTGCTATGGAAGTCTCATCAGCGCCTGCACCCTCGGTGGGTGCCTCATAAATATCCTTTTACAAATAATGAGCCCAGACTGAAGTCTATCGAAGAGCTCATAGAATTGAGCGAAGACAGCGATGGGACATTGGATGACGTTATTCCTCAGTAAGTATTATTTAATTATTCCTCTGTGGTGCTCAGGCGTTACTAAGTTGATTCTCTAAGTTTCTGACAATTTCATGTCCTGCAGTGGACTGATTGTAAAAACACGGTTCCCAGTAGAACACCGAAGTCAAGCATCACTGACCGCGATCAGCAAGCAAGTGGGTGACCACTTTGATCAGCCTGCGTAGAGACCGAGCTATCAAGGCAGGGGGTGGCATTCCCTCTGCAGAGGATCAAAATTGCAGTGGCATGTCTTCGGATCATCCTCAGGCATATTTCTCAGACCGTCGCCAATAACCCATTGTGTAGTTCTAGTGCGACTTAAATAAAGTACCTACCTACCTGCCTGACGATTTCATAAAAAAATAATAATAAAGGTGACGTCAGAATGACGTTATGTTATATGTAAGTATAAAGGGATTTTAACTGCTACGTATTCTGGCGGTACTGAAACTTCCATTGTTTTACTACGATTCTTCCCGCATCATGGACAGGAATCAGAATTAATGAAGCAAATCGAAACATTTTTGTTCACAATTATTAAAATCATTTATCCAAAGATTTGTGTAAAAAAAACAATTTTAATAATTATTTACTATTTTATTTAATAATAGTTGAACTAATTTTAAATCAGTGAAAATTGAATCATTAGTTTAAAAATTATTTAAGGCTTTCATTTTTTAATCACTGTTCATACACAAACTTTAAACTGGTGAAAAATAAATCTTATAATGTTAAAAATTGTGTTTTTATTCCAATTGTCTTTTTCTTAAACCAAGCCTTCTCAATTATGAGTAGGCCACAGAATCTTAGAAGATTTAAAGAAAATTTATATAATTTAAAGAAAACACAGTACTGTGTCGATTTAATATTTTTCAGATGGATTCTCCAGACGATAAGGAATCTAAAAATTTAATATGTAAAAACCGAACATTAAATCAAAAATTACTTGGTGCATTTCATTTCATCAATGCTTTTTTTTTCCTTCCTTATTTTATAATATTTCTTATAACAAACATTTTTCTTACAATTTTAGTGAAGTTCATTTTGTAGAACCTAAGGTAAGAATAGTGAAGGATAGTGTTTTTGAAAATTCCCGTTATGTCAACTTCAGGCATTGCTTAACTGATTTAGATTGCGGACGTGGGGCCTTCTGTATAATACCAAAAGACCAGAAAGAGCTGGATGTAGCCCAAAATACTGTAAATGTTTCATTTTTACTTACTACTTTTTATTTTCGTCCGCGTATTCTTGGCCATGCAATGATTTTATTGCACTTCTTTGAAAAACCGGTTCAATGCTAAAATCAAAATATTGGTATTTTTTTTAAACTTATATAATACCATACACAATCGTAACAATTTGAATCTACGGTTTAATTTAGTAGTGTTTTATAGCATATAAATCATCTGTTGAAAGACGTGTAATGATCCACAATAGTTAAATACGAATCACACTCTTTCCAGCACTTGTGATTTCTAAGAAATATTTTTATCATTGGCAGTGAATTTAAGTAGAAATTATAAAAACAAATAGAACTCGGTCATATCTTTTACATATCTGTTTAAATTATTAATATGTAATGGTAGAAAAAATTCCTTTGTTTCTAAAATTATTAAAATATTGCTACATTACCTTTGGTACCACTAGGAATTTTTTTTTCTGAAACTACGAAAATTCTGTAGTAGTTGAGGGTATGGAATCATAGAAACAGGCATAGTTTGCTTTGTTCAGCGACGAAATTAATATTAAATTCAAAAATCGTTTTCAGTTTAGAGATATCGTTTTCCTTTCGAATTACTTTAAACTTCGATTAAAATAAAATTTAAAAAAAAAGGAATTTTATATTCAAGCGAGAAACTATTCCATTCAAAATATTTCTTTTCGAATTCAATATTTTTGCCAAATAGTTGCTAAAAACAAGCAGATTTGAAGCTTATCATTGGACGCGACGAATCGCTGAAAAAATCGCTGTAAATATCCAGTTCAAATTTTATTATTTGTTTAAAAACGATAACGATTTTAATATTTATGTTGCCATCTAGTTTCAAAAGCAAGTGCTTAAAATCAAAACTCTTAAGACTGTTCTTTCGGAGCAACGTTATATACTTAAACTTCTAAAACACTGCTGTTAATACGAAGCATGTAGTACGCATTTGAACCCATAGATCAAACCATTTTGTTAGTTAAAAGAACCTCTTTCTTTTTCTTTCAGAGCGACATAGGATTCTGTTACTGTAAACGTGAATATTTTGCAGATGGAATAATTTGTAAGAAAATTCCTCTTGACAAGCACCGAGGCAAACGAATAAAAAGGAACGTTCTGAGAACAGAAGACATTGAAGTAGTGCCAAGACTGTTTTATTCTCAGAGAGATGTGTCCTCCATTCACAACTCAGTGATAGAACGTGATACAGACGAGATTGTATGCATTGACATCAAATCAACTAATAGCATTAATCCTTTCCGGCACAGCAAATTTAGATTAAAAGTTTTAAAGAGGCAACATATTGGCAAATGAGATCGCAGAGTCTACGATCTCATTTGCCAATATGTTGCCTCGTTAAAATTTTTAATGTACGTAGACCATCAATTCTAAGTAAAGAGATACATGAGCTTTATGCTGTTCAGAAAATAGTGGTTACTAAAAAATCGTGGGTGTTTAGAAGTAAATAATTTTCAATTTTTAGTGGTTTGTAATATTTTTAAAATAAGTATTGCCAAATTGGCAACACTGAGCTAAAAAGGGTTAACATTTATTGTATTTTATCACCGGGGTAAGGCCAAAGTAATGTGATTACATATTCCTTGATTGAGCAACCGATCTATATCGAATTAGTAGTGATATCAATGTTTAACTCTGATGTAATCTTTTGATTTCGAATCTTACCCAGAAAACAAGGGAACTTTTGAATCAAGTCTTACGACTAAATTGCCGCCATGAAGGACTTTTTGAGTGAAATTAATTACTTGGGTCGTTACATGTTACATGGGTCGAAATAAAAGTACGAAAATTGGCCAGTTTTCAGCCTGAATGTTAGGGGATTCAAACCAATGATCCGTCTATAAATGGGAATATTTTTCGTTTTCAATTTGATCGGTGTAAGCCAGAAGTAGTATAAATAGCACTTGACAGAAATTATATTTTTTTCCTAATTAGAAGATTCAGTATATTTGTTTAATTTTTAAACATTGGTTTGCCTATTCAAATCATAATAACGTCAAAATGACGATATAAACTACGTTTTAATTGTGTCTCACAAAAATATAATAATTCTCACAATTTTTGTGTAAGATGTCATTCTGACACAACTTATCACTGATTTTTTTTTCTGAATTCATAAAACAGAGAACTGACTTTGAGTAACAAATTATTTAAACAGATGACTTTTGTTTCTTTATATAAAATACTTAATCTCTTAAACATTTTGTAGAAAATAGCTACCAATCTCCGAGCATAGTGAAAAAATATCGAAGAATTGTTTTAAAAGATAGTAGTGGTTTATTTAGCAAAATTATACCACAGTACTTAAATTTTTAATTTACAAAGAAATTATTCTTTTAACAAATATAATATACTTTGATAAAGATAAAAAATGTTTGATAAAGAGAAGTCGAATTTAAAATTTCAAGATTAAATTTTAGGAAACATTTTTTTAAATATTGAACGAAAGAATTTATATACTTTTTTTGCACATATTATTAAAATATTAAAAATAATTTTTAAACACAAAGAAATATTTTTTATTTAGATTTAATAAATTTGCAAAGATATTTTCTTCTTCTTCTAAACAAACGTTTTTCGTATTAGGTGTGAAAAATAAGTATAATATTTCTTGCTGTTGTATTTATTTTATTTTATAACCGTCAATGAACAGCCGACCCAATTTTATGGGCTTACGACTACTAATGTTCAACTCCGTAGCCTCGTTATTTTCCACCCAATCCAGAAGACAAGGGAACTCCTGGGTCGAGTATTGGGAGAAATTTGCCTTCTTGATTCAGCTAACCCGCATTCGCGTTACATGGAAAAGAAGACCACGAGAACCTTTCACAGTTATCCTGACGCAAGGGGACTCTAACCCATGATCCGTCTACCACTGGAGATATTTCACGTCAGCACTGTGGTCGGTGCAAGCCGGATTCTAATTCGTATCGACAGGGATTCGAACCCGGTTCGCCTCATTGGAATGCGAACGCTCTATCCTCTGAGCCATTGCGGCTCCTTGTCGTTGTTTGTCTTATGCCATTTGGTACCAACAAGCCTATTTTAAAGCAGAGAGCTGCGCTTCTTTTTGCTTTTCGGTGACGCCATCCATGGCCAATAATTCGACTTCTGTCGCACACATACAGGCCGTTTATAGGGCGAACCCATTCATCCGCAGATCGTAATTTCGACCTGAACTGGAGCACGATCTATCGCCGATCTAGTACCCCCAGAGGTATTGATTCGTTATGGGAACTTCGTGACCCCGGCAGATTTAGCGTGCACCAGTCACCTTTTGTACACGAGGAGTCTTCGGCCGGTGGGGATCAAACTCACGAACTCTTGGGCATGAGCCAAATAACTAAGCAACCAACCAGGCGTTTTATGAAGAATGAAATTCCGATTAAAAGGAAGAAATCTGCTGCAAGAAAAATATGTAACATAGAGATTCTATATGTTTAATTATACATATTTCTATTTCCAACAACGCAACAGCAATATGAAAAAAAAAATTTAAAAGATATTGAATATAATGAACCATCGTTTATTGTAAACATGTTGCTCGGTCCACAGACGGGAGTGCAATACATATATTATCAAATAATAATAATTATATATATATAATCAAACAATAATTATAGCAAGATGCGTTTTTTCTTGTAATATTATTTTTTTGTTGACAGCTGAATGTTTCTCCACAGGAGACAACTTTGAAAAATCCAACGTTTGAAGAAGAAGAATCATACCTATTGAGTAGTTGCCATAGCAACAAGGACTGCAGCCAACATGCCACATGCGATCAGGTCCATAACAGAGATCATTCTTCCTGCAAATGTGACAGAGGATATAGAGGCATGGGGATATTTTGCTGGGAAATCATGGATTATGTCGAAGAGGAATTGATGGATAAAAGAAGAACGAAAATAGATGAAGAAACTTTCATGGAATAACTGAGAGGCCGTTGTAAATTAGCATGCTGTCAGATTATTATCTATTGATATAAAAAAATTGGTGTAGAAATCTCGTCAAATAACTCCGTAACTGAAACATAATTTCGAATTACATGGAACATTAATACATCATCTTAAAAGTTTCAGTTTTAAAGTTACATTATATTAGGAATGCTATAAAAATTTATAGATTATTTTTGTACCTAACATTAAAAGTACCTACAATACTAATAAAGGGATTTATTTTCTGTTATAGTTGAAAGGAAAATGAGTAAAGCAGATTGCTCATTTTCCCATTGCTAGATAACTAGGAAACGCTCTGTGTACTACATCGCGATAATTTTATTGTAGCAAAACATGTGATTATTTTTAAAAAATCAATTTTCTTCAGTTTTAATTTTAAAAATATTGGGTAAAAATCCGTTTATGTTATACTTTTTCTTTAATCCAGAGCTTTATTTGTTGTGGGTGTTTAATTTTTTTTTGTCACCAAATTATATTTTTAAAACTTTAAAATGTAACTGTGCTTAATTAAATAAATTGTCAGAATTTTCATTGGCAACTGAAAAAAACGCAATAGAATCTCCATACATACGATAAAATAGGCTTTTTATTTCTAACCATGATGATTTTGAATACACATGAATGCATTAGAATTAAAGTGAGATGATTTTATTATTATAGTTAATTTTTTATTTGTTTTTATTAATCTATCTTTATTTAAATACAATGCAATCTTTTCACAATACTGCCAAAAACGGTTAAATACTTCAAACAATGCTTTTATTTCGTATAGTATATATAAAAAAAGAGAAGATAAATATTTCACGAAGAGCGCCAATACGAAATTCACCGTTACTTTCCATGGATACGCTTCTGGTGTTAAACTGAATTTCTGTTAAGTAATGCACTATATCGGGGGAATTTTATCTAATTCCTCTACGTTGCTTGACAATGAGATGCCTGCAAGTGACGTAGTGTAGGTGTCTTGATCCTGATTTGTTGTTGAAACGTGCATTTGTTTACGTCAACAACTGAACAACACATTCTATATACTTTTATAAAGATTTAAATTCTTTACCTATACATAATTCTTACTTAACACAAAGACAGGTACGAAGCCACGTAGAATGTAAACTAATTATGCATCGAAGTTGTCAAATACACAAACAAAAATATATTACGATTACAATAAAATACATAAACAAATAATAATTCTAAGTTGGGTAAAAGATGTAGACGAGAAAGAATTGTATTTCAACCAATTTGAAGGGCAACACGGGGGGGCATATTTAATTAACTTCACGTTAAATAACATTCTAACTTATGTGGAGAAACTTAGATGGCTTTAACACACGTCATTTTGCCTATAAGCGATCAGCTGGAGCTGACGTCATAGGTCACATGTGTGGGTATCCGTGGTCTTTATCTTGAAGTGCAAATGCCCAATCGATAAATGTATGAAAATTTTATTTCTTCTAGTACAGATTGTTCTACGTGGTTGCTAAGAAACATAATTGTCTGAGAAAAATTTTGTCTTGTTATTGTTGTAGTTCATTTACGTCGCACTAGAGCTGCACAATGGGCTATTGGCGACGGTCTGGGAAACATCCCTGAGGATGATCCGAAGACATGCCATCACAATTTTGATCCTCTGCAGAGGGGATGGCACCCCCGCTTCGGTAGCCCAACGACCTGCACGCGAAGTCGAGCACTTTACGGTAGCACAGTTTAACGAGGACCAATACCGCACACCCTCGCTTCCTACTCAGACTGATCCAAGTGGTCACCCACCCGCACACTGACCGCAGCCAGTGTCGGTGATCTGCTGGGAACCGTGTCTTAACGATCAGTCCACTGCGGGACAATTTTGTCTTGTAAACTTTGCACTTGTAAGCACCAAGATTGTAAACCCCAAACACGTAAGTCAAAGTCGCATTTTCAAAAATCTCCAGGTTCGGCAGTGGACAGATAGTTAAGACACGGTTCCGAGCAGATCACCGAAGTCAAACATCACTGACTGCGGTCAGTGTGCGGGTGTGTGACCACTTGGATTAATCTTCGTAGGGACCGAGGGTGTGCGGTATTGGTCCTCGTTAAACTGTTCGTAAGTGCTCAAGTTCGCGTGTAGGTCGGGCTACCGAAGCGGGGATGCCATCCCCTCTGCAGAGGATCAAAATTGCGATGGTATGTCTTCGGATCATTCTTAGGGATGTTTCCCAGACCGTCGCCAATAGCCCATTGTGCAGTTCTAGGGTGACGTAAATAAACTAAACTACAAAAATCTCCAGAAGCTTCAGTTTAGAGCAGTTGGGCCAATTCACAGACCTCCTATTCATTTTACTAACAATTTTTTCTGATTAAAAAATATATATATATTAAAAATCGGGGAGCAAAATTGCATATTCTTCCTGTTTTATCACACATGTGATAGGTAAAGCACAAAAATGGCTGAAAATTTTATGTAATTTATCAGGTCACGCTCTTCCTTGAAGCACGAATATTAAATAGTTACGCAGTTTCGAATTAAACTTATTTAATCAATTCTCGATTAAATTAACATTTGCAATAACTCTTGATTAAGTGTTATAAGAGAACATAAAATTAATAAGGTGATTATCGTACCGAGTAAGTTTATATTGGAGGCGAATAAAACAATCCTTAAGACTTCAAGTTTTTATTAGCAGAAACTTACAGCACTCATCAGAACAACTGCCCTCAATCACAGCTCAAATAATAGCGTAATACAATAAAACAATCTGAGCTAGCAAATCTGGATGCTCATTGCTTTATAGTTTGTCTAAAGTAAGAACTCCCCTAGCCAATCGTCTGGACCCGTGGCGGTGACTTTGGTAACGAGGTATAATTATTTTAAGTAGGAGTGTGGGGTTACTATTGAGGACAGATTTTGGCTAGGGTGGGCGAAAGAATTGGAATCTTTTTCTTCGGTCTATTGTGTTAGCCTTAGAGTGAAGAAAAGCTAACCCCCTTGTTTCCATAGCAGCAGACGGCCTCAGATTTTGTGGAGGAGGGAGTTCTTACTGTTGACAAACTATACCAAGATCTCCGTTAATTTTCTTCTCTATTCTGAAGCGATATCGGCAGCCTCCATCGCAGACTTTCCTGAATAATACACCGGAATTTTCATGCGAACTGTCCTTGTGATGACACATCTTGAAGTCACATTCCTGATGCGGTGGAGTGTTAATTCCGTCAATTTCGGACAGTTTTTACGTATATGACCATCCTCACCGCAGTTCCTACAGTGCATATGTTTATTTCTGTTGGTCCTGCGTTCTCTCATACTGCAGATCTTTCGCAGAATATTTTCAATTTAGGTCAGCGCTTGAATCTGTAGATGATACTGCTGTGATGTAGTTGCGTTCCTTCCGTCAGACTTGCTGAACTGCCTTAATCTTGTGTGCGAAGATGTGGGCGGATCCTATGTCTTTCACATCGGAGGAGCCTATTGTGCCTCTGGATCCCGCACTTGTCTATGAAATGATTGATGGCCGAATTTTGACGTAACACAGGAGGCAGTTCGAAAAAGCTACATGTGACACAGCGACCAATTCTTCGAGGCTCTTACGAACCCGTTGCAATCGGGACCTAAGTTGCAGACAGCTGCTTTCTCCAGAATATTTTTCACCAAAGCACAACTCCAATGAACTCAAGATAAGTACTTTATTTACGTAGCACTAGAGCTACACAATGGGCTATTGGAGACGGTCATGCCCTGAGGATAATCCGAAGACATGCCATCGCAATTTTGATCCTCTGCAAAGGGGGTGGCTCCCCTGTTTTGGTAGCCCGACGAACTGTGCGCGAAGTAGAGCACTTTACGCTAGAATAATTTAACGAGAACCGATACCGCGCACCCTCGGTCCCTACGCAGGCAGATCAAACTAGTCACTCGTTCACTGACCGCAGCCAGTGATGCTTGACTTCGGTGTTCTACTGGGAACCATGTCTTTACGATCGATCCACTGTGGGACCCAATGAACTTAAAAATAATTCTTTTCGCTAAGTGTCTTCAAGATGTCGACTGCATCCCGTAAAGTAGATGAAAGGCCTAATCCGTTGAGTCCCATTCCATTTGTTAGCTTCAGCGAAGATCAGTGAACTCAATGTTCCAACTCGAAAACTCAATGTTCCAACATTGAGTTTTGTACACGTGCAAAGATAATTTTCAGTAGAAAAGTTTGATAGCAGCTGGAAATGTTGAAAGCATGCATTTAGTCCCTTTAGTAACTGGCATGATTCTAGTCTATTTAGTCTAATATTCCAATTTCATATCAAATTCCTCCTCAATTTTAACGATTCTCTGTTCTACAGAATTCATTCTGAATTCCACAGCTTTCTTTACACAGGATCTCTCTTGATTTCTTCTTGACATGACTGAAATCTATTACAGTCATTTCTTCCTGGCTTGTGTCAAACTTGGCCTCCATCTTGATTAGCAGCCATCTTTTCTTGGCTGGACATGAGTTACGAGTCCCCTTGCGGTCAGGCTAACCGTGGGAGGTTTTCCTCTCAATGTAATGCGAATACGAGTATCAAAAAGATATAGTTCCATCAAAAAGCTCCCAATACTTGATCCAGGAGTTTCCTTGTCTTCTCAATTGGGTTTAAAATTACAAGTCAATGGCACTGAACATTGGTAGTCGTAAACTCAAAAATTGGGTCAGCTGTTCCACTACGGATTCTGACACCAAAAATGTACCCAGAACAGGGGTTCATTTGAATTAATGACGAATAAACAATCCTTAAAATTTTATTATCAGAAATAATAAGTAATAATCGAGTGTAAAATAAGAAATGTAAAAATTCAAAATAGATTTCATTCAACTGATAGAAATTATTGAGGTTTATTTATATCAAAATTTTAGGCTTTTGCAATATTATTAAATTTTTAGAAAATATTTTTGCCTAGGTTGTAATATACCGCTAAACAAGGAGCAACATCAATTAATGAAATAACGTTTAATTAATTTTGTTACATTTTCCTAAATTTTTATTTTTTCCTTGTAATTAATATTTAATAATATACAGTTTTCAGCTTTAATACAGGTTGCAGGTTACGCATAATTTGAAGAAAAAACAAATTAAAATTATGTTTGTATTTTGTACAATAAGGCTAGTTATGAAAAAAGCACTGTTGAAACTTACTTGCACAAAAAATTCTTTTTTTGCCACGTATTTTTTTATAAGCACAGGTTTACTCCTGCAGCATCAACTCATATCCTTCTCTATTGCAAAAAGGTTTTTCTTTTATTTTTAAAAAAAATCACAACTGCACTGTTTTCTTAAAATTTGTTGAATCATTCATAAATCAGACTATAGGTTGGACATTTTACATGCACAACACTTGCAAATAAATACACAGTAGTCTAATATACAATAGCATAAATAGACTTAGACAAGATTTATAAGTGTGCCCCATCTTAGATTTACAATAAAAGTTTAAAATTATAATATGAAACAAAAATACTGTGGTGAAGAAGTATTCAGATTTATAATAGAATTATTAATTTTACTTTAAAATAATGAAAATCATAATTGTGATTAAGAGGCAATATTAAGGCACTGAATTGAAATATGTATTGTGTACACTAACCATATTGAAATAAAAAAAAATCATGAGAAAATAACTCACTATCTTATAATAATTATATTCAAAGTTTAGTTAAGGGTTATTAATATGTATTTATAAAGTGAATTAAAAATATTTCATAAATAAAAAATATTTTTATTTTAACTTAGCGTAATTTTTTCTTCTGAGTGCGCCCTAAAACCTTGTATGCCCCCTCTCGGCATATCAAGCTGTCATTTACACCACTGTAATTATGACCTAACTCCTACTCCTATTTTTTAGAAAATATTTTCGTTAATTTTGCTGAGACATGTGCAGAAAAAAGGGTTTAGTTGTTCATTTAATATGCAATTGTGTAACAACTGTAAAGATAATCTAAGTTCACTTAAACACACTAATTACATACATAAAAAAATTCTCTAAAACAATTAATCTATGGATTACTGGCCCATATCAACACAAAACAAAAGGAGAGAGACAAAATTACTTTTAAACAAATTTATTTTTGTAGTTTTGCAAACATCATCAAACAAATTTGTAATTCGGGTGATAAAACTATCAATTATACACATGTATTCCTGTATAAATATAGCACCACTTACTAAGTGTAGTTCTGTTAAAAACAAATTTGAGAAGAAAAAGTAAAAAACAGGGCTATATGCAGTGACTTAGATATGGGAGTGATTTGAGGTACAAAATATCTTCTGAAGTTAAAAAAAAAATCTAGTTTAAAAATAGGCCACAATACAGTGCTCACACTCATGAGTGGAATTATCATCAAAGTTCTAAAATTTGACAATTCTAACCTTATTATTAGTATTAAATTTGGATTAAAATAGCTTAACTTACTTTAAGAAAATACTAAATTGTAGATATTGAGTTAATGGACTCAACCAATTATTTGAATAAAAACTTTCAATTACAATCATAATAAACAAAAGCCACAGCACAGTAATAGTTTCAAGGATGTACGAACTTAATATAATTTGTAACCATTTTGAACTTGCATGGAAGAATAAAAATTATTTCATTAACGATTGAAAATTTGAACAAGATATATAAATATATATATACAGGGTGCGTAGCCAAATCTTTGCATCAAAAATAAGCAGTTTTTAAAAACTTTTCAAGCACTTTACAAAAATTTCCAAGCACTCAAAAAATTCATATTCAATCAATGATATTATTGAAAAACAAAAACTTTTTATAAACAGTTTCAGCGTTAAAAAAAAAAAAGAAGAAAGAAACGGCGTAAATCGAAACAATCAGTACTTTCCCACATCACCGAGTGAATTCAACTTGACCCTTACCCCCTACGTCAAAAAAAGAGTTAGAAGTAAAATAAAATAAACAAGAACAAAAATAAATAAAATTAAAAAGAAAAAAATTTCACAAGGATCTGATATTCTCTATCCGAATTGGAGCACTCTGGTTTCGGTTTCAAGTGTGCGCGCATGCGCAAGTCATAACATGGGTACGACATGAAGTTCGCGTGAATGATTACGTAGCAAACTCCCCATTTTTCGTGAAATGCATGGGATCCACCAGATATCACAGAAAAGAAGAAAAAAAATTATTCGAAAAAAAAACACGTTTTAAAAACGCCAGCTGAAAAAAGCACATTTAAAAGCTTTTAAAAACGAAATCCCCAAAAAAGCACCTTTAAGTACTTTTTACCAACGCTATGCACCCTGATATATATAGGGAGAGCGTGAACTAATAGTAGGAATTGAAAAAAAAAAGGAGTGTGGTCTCAGATAACTATAAAAGTCTAAATTTGGATACGTGGGTCACACGTGCTACCACGTAATGTCCTTTATTGAATTTATCTCACACAGCGAATATAAAATATTTAAATGTGAGCAAAGCTATTTTTTGTTTAAATAGAGCTATAAGTTAGAAATTATCACTGATGTTGCTTTAAAAATACATGAAGAACTGAATCACTTATCGTAAAATTTAAAACGATGACACATGCTTAACCAGTCAGAAAATTCTATTTCGTTTCTCGCTCATCCCTATCTAATTAATGAATAAATATTTGAAAAAACTACATCATCATCAAGTTTCATCCACTACAAGCTCAAAAAAAAAATGTATTTTAACTTGGGTGGATAAATAAAAAGTATTTAAATAACGATTGAAAATTTGAACAAGATATAGAGAGAGTGTAAACTATTAGTAGAAATTACAAAAATTTTTTAATCATAAATGGGAACTAGCAATAAATTTTAATTTTATAAGAAGATTTTAGCCATAAAGTTATATGAAAATTATAGATACACTGCAAGCGCTAAAAATAAATAAACCCAATATTTGTGTTTATACTTATAAATTCCACAATTTTTAAATATTNTCCGGTTTTTTAGTTTTCCGGTCTTCTGATTTCCGGATAACGGATTCTGTACTGTAGTTTCAAGGACGTACGAACTTAATATAATTTGTAACCATTTTTAAATGCATTTGAACTTGTATGGAAGAATAAAAATTATTTCATTAACGACTGAAAATTTGAACAAGATATAAATATATATATATATAGGGAGAGCGTGAACTAATAGTAGGAATGGAAAAAAAAAAGGAGTGTGGTCTCAGATAACTATAAAAGTGTAAATTTGGATACGTGGGCCACAGGTGCTACCACGTAATGTCCTTTATTGAATTTATCTCATACAGCGAATATAAAATATTTAAATGTGAGCAAAACTATTTTTTGTTTAAATAAAGCTGTAAGTTAGAAATTATCACTGATGTTGCTTTTAAAATACATGAACAACTGAATCACTTATCGTAAAATTTAAAACGAAGACACATGCTTAACCAGTCAGAAAATTCTATTTCGTTTCTCGCTCATCCCTATCTAATTAATGAATAAATATTTGAAAAAACTACATCATCATCAAGTTTCATCCACTACAAGTTCAAAAAAAAAATGTATTTGAACTTGGGTGAATAAATAAAAAGTATTTTAATAACGATTGAAAATTTGAACATGGTATAGGGAGAATGTAAACTAATACTAGGAATTAATTTTTTTAATCTCAAATGGGAACTAGCAATAAATTTTAATTTTATAAGAAGATTTTAGCCATAAAATTATATGAAAATTATAGATACACTGCAAGCGCTAAAAATAATTAAAACAAATATTTGTGTTTATACTAATAAATTCCAAAATTTTTAAATATTTGGAAAAAAAAGAAATTGTTATAGGGGAAAAAAAAACCTAAGTGAATTAAAACTAGGAAGGAAAAAAAAAATTACGATTCTAACTTTTAAAGTTTCAATAAAAATCCATCAAGCAAGTACAGTGAAACACAGATTAAACAATGTTTTCTGCTACCAAAAGATGTTCACATTTTAAATGTTGCAGAGCTTTAGAATCTCTAATAACGGAAATACTATATTCAAAATAACATAACAGTATAATACATTCTATAGAGTACAATAGTCTTTCATTTATTTTTAATAGCATTTAATAAATTTTAATTTTCAATGGAACAAAATCATTGTGTATTGCATTATAAATATATTTTTCCAACAATAAAACATAAATTAAAAATAGTTTTTACGAAATCTATTATCAATGCATTAATAAAGTTAAAAGGTATAAAGTTATACCTTATACACAGACTGAAATAAATCATTTCCTTACAGAGAATACAATGGAATGTAAGAATAATTAATTATTTAAACATGAACCAAATAATTTATGTAATTAAAAGGAAGAGGCTTAAAATCAACTTTAGAAAGGTAAGAATTTGATAGATAAACTGGGAAAAAAATTAAGTGATTTAAAGAAGAAAAGTTTATTTGAAAAAAAAACATTTTCAACAAGTTTAGTAAATTAAACTCAAGTCTTGCATAATTTAATAATTGGTTTACATAAACCAATTCAATGAATTAAGTTTAGTTACTACTAACTGATTAGGACAAAGTTCATTCTTTTAACAGAAAAAAATAGCTGTAAAAAGCATTTCATATTATTATAATATCATGGTAGTATATTAATAATTTGAAACAATAACATCAAATTATTGAAATTAATTAATTTAAAATTATGTTAACTTTCTTACATATAGCAATTACACACCTATAGTCTGGCATCCAAAATAATAATAATAATTTCTTTTAAAAAGGAAGTAATTTTTATTTAAATATATCTGTAACTTGATTATGTTTTTACAGAAAAATCAAGCAAAATTTCAACAATAGTTTTTCTACAATAATCTTGAATCAGCCCTAGATTTTACTTAATATTAAATGAAGATATAGATTCCTAACATGCCTACAGTTTTTTTTTTTTTCTCTTCCTTTTATCAAACTTAGTGCCATGCGCTATGTGTACTAAATTTTCATAATCTTATTTTTTTTTTCTTAGGCAGTACAAAACTTATTGAAATCTATACTAAGTACTAAGGTATCATCAAAAAAGCTGATGCTATCAAATCACGTATTGATTTTAAAAATTACAGGTGAAAGTGGAGAATAATTTGGTCCTTTATTTGGTCATGTAAAAAACTCATTAACTATGATTAAAAAGACAATCATAATTAAATTGATTTTGTAACATCTGTGCTCTAAAAATATACGCAAACTAACATGAAATAGATCAAAAATTGGTTCCTTTCTTCAATGAGACCATTTTTCTCCTTATCTTTTGACATATAACATAATTTCAAATACAATATAAATCTATATATAAGTCTTACCATTGACAAAATCTAAAAAATGTTTATTTAATTGCAATCGACAATTTTCAAATAACGATTCATTTCAAAGGATTTCTAACGTTTTGAACTTTTAGATACAGTTGTAAGTTGAAAAGCACAAATAAAATAAAACCACACAAACAAACATTTGTGCATTTTTCACTAAGTTTAGCTCCATCCATAGATGGCACATAATTACTCACATTTTCATTACTTGGATACTTAGCACTTTTCTTTAAAATATTAAAACTACTTTACTGATTATTAATCCTTTAACTGTTATCTTGCAGCCAATTAATTTAATTTTTTAAAACAATTAAACATTTATCATCATTCTCAGTAAATAACTAGAGCATTTCAATTATATTAAGAATGTTTAAACTGGTGAAAAAGTTTTTTTTTCTTTTTCTTTTAAATAAAATAGGAACTAAAAAAATACCCATGCAACGAAAAGTCTATTAGCAAACTACAGTGAATTAAATCTGAAATATTTTTTCAACTAGCAAAAACATATTATTTTTAATGTACCCAGGGGTCTGTCTAGGTTTTTCTGTGAGGTACCTATTTTATGAAAATTTAGACATAATTTGTGAAGATTAAAAATTATATTAAAAAATCAACACAAAAATGTAGTAAAAATATGGATTTATTGTTTCTTACGGGATACAAAAACAAAATTTTAGGAATAAGTATAAGTAGTACATGTCTACCGTTTTTTCCAAGAGTTGAATTTGTGAAGGTACCGCTAAACGGTAGTAAATTTGGCCCTGACAGACCCCTGGTACCTTAAAATTAACATATTCAAAATAGATCAAAAATAGAATAAAATATATTTTTGTAAACACGTCAACACAAGATTATATTATTTAAACTAATACAGAGCTAACTAACTGAAGATATCAATAATAGTGAACAATAATTCTGCCATCATTTTTAAAACTTATTAACTCACAGTACATCATTTAAACAAATTAAAACTGAGAAGAACACTTTTCACCAAACATGTATTAGTACCTAGATTATTTAACAAAATAAATACATTAGAAAGTATTAAAAATTTTTAACCATCAGTAAACTCACCATGTCTTTGGGAATAAAGATGAAATCATTAAAAAGCAAACTTTTTTCAATTTTATAAACTAAAAAATAGATAAATTTAATCTTATCATTATAAATTAGATTTATCATTAAATTCATGTCTTAAGCAATTTATAATAGAAGACAAATGAAATCGTTACAAAACATTAACAAATAAACTTGCAAAATTGAAAAATAAACAAATATTTTAGAAATTAATAAGTTCAGTTGTTTGAGCCCTGTTTATAAGCTCTAGCTGCATAAGACTTAGACAAAAACAAAACACTAAAAATTAATCAACAAAACAAATGCCTTATTAGAATATTGCAAATTTTAAACCATTATTAACTTATCATAAATTTGAAATTAAAAAAAAAGCATAACATTGAATAACATTAATCTTTTAATATATACTTGAAGATCAACACAAATAGTTTTAAGTATGATCATAAAATTCATAGATAATTATTTTCAAACTATTATTAAATTAAAACTTAAGCAAAATAAAAACAATGCCAGCGGAATCATTGCATAACATTAATATTTTAATAAACTTGAAGATGGACACATATAGTTTAAAGTATAATCATAAAATTCACAGATAATTATTCTCAAACTTTTATTGAATAAAACTTTAAGCAAATTAAAAATAAGGCAAGTGGAATCATTGCACAACATTAACTAATTAGATTACCAACTGAACGTGGACAAATCACTAAATAATATTCATCTTTTAATTAACTTGAAGATGGACACATATAGTTTAAAGTATGATCATTAAATTGATAGATAATTTATCTTCATAAACTCATTTTAATAAACTTGAAAAAGTTCATGGAAGATAGAGTTTATAAAATAAACATAAAATTCATGATCATTTTCAAACTATTATTGAATTAAAACTATAAGCAAATTAAAAAATAAGGCAAGCAAAATCATTGCATAACATTAACTAATTAGACAACCAACAGAAGATAGACAAACATATTTTTGGAATAGCTGGTCATTTTAACCCTGTTTATCAGCTCCAGCTGCATAAGCAGCAGCAAATAGTGGAACAGTTTTAGATGCAGCAATATCTTTAGCCTTCCTAGCCTTTTCACATATTTTCTCTTTATCTAAGAAAGAAGATGGTTTGATTTCTACAGCAACTGATGAAGGATATTTCTGAGCGAGAACAAATTCCAGTCCTTTACAAGTTTTTTGCACATTCTTTTGAAACCTGTGAATAAGATACGATTCAAATAAGCTAGGCAGATACAGTCTCGTTCGTTCAATCCAGGCTTTACGCTCCACTGCAAAACTACTTCTCTCTTTTTCTTTATAAAAGCACAGCTCTTTAATGCGGGCAACAGAAGTTCCAATGTTCCAGGTACATGTTCTGATTGTTTTATTGACTGGATCGATGAAAGATTCTTCGATAATAGGTTCGTTTTTTATAGCTATGTTGTACCCAAAAGAAGTAAATCTTACAGTTTTGGTTAGAAGTCTCATTGTATGTAATATCCCATCTTCGACCTTGCGGTACAAAACATCTTCGGTTCTTACGTGTTTACTAAATGGATTTGGATAGCGAAACCAAAACACTTCCGCTATTTGATGCCAAGAGTAATGAAAAATATCTTCACCCTCGAAGAATTTCATTTTTCAACTAAGTTGTATATTGTAAACACCTTGAAATGATTTAGTTATAGTTAGTAGAGCGCAGCTACAGTAAATAAATGCAAATTGATGTAAAGTAGATCATTTTACAGCGAAAAAAGAAATTGATACGAATAAGAATACCAATAAAGGAAAAAGTTATTACATACACGACCTACAGAACCGGTGCTGGAAGAATACACGAGAAAAGAAGATAGAACAAGATTAGATCGTAAATAAAAGAAATTTCCGGATTGCCTACGAGCAGCTGTTGCCACAACTGATTTTTAACCTAAAAAACTAAATATGGAAGTAATGTTTCTTAAAAATTTTAAAATGTTGAAGGAATATTCTCTTTTTTAAAGAACATTTTAATGCTCAAAAATATTATTAACTCTTTTCGATTGAGTTTTTAATTAATCCAGTCATAATCAGAAGCAATACATCTTTTCTTATTACCAAAGCTGATCAAACAAAAAGTGGCAGACGATAGTGACGAGCACAGAGAAAATAAACAAACAAGCCTAGTAATTTTGTAATTTTTTAGATTTCTTTAAAAATAAAAGCAATTTACAAAAATGGATGCTCTGTTGAGCTCAAAACCAATGCCCCTTTGTTTTAACAAAGAAGATTTTTTAGAGAACGATTTTTGTGTTGATAAATTTGTCAGTGATTGTCGTAAACATGCCTCGTTAGAAACTATGCGAGAAGATCTTGGTTTGTATCATAAAATACTATGCACGTCTATGATCGAATTAATAAATAAAGACTATGCCGACTTCGTGAATTTATCAAGCAATTTAGTTGGTTTAGATAAATCCATCAAGAGTTTAACTGCACCTCTCGAAAATTTGAAAAATGAAGTAGAAAAAATCAAAACCAATTTAGAGGGAACTTTAAAATCCGCACAATCAATGTTTGATGAAAGAAAGAGCACACATAAATCAAAAGTTCTTGTTCGGCACATATCAAGTGTTTTAGAAGGACTTGAAAAAATCGATTCCCTGCAAAACTCCGCTTTTCAAGCAGATAGTGTCTTAAAACAGATTGAGATATTAGAAAAAGTTGCTGTAGCTTTCAATTCAGTTCAATTTCACATGAATCAGTTGTCAGAGGTTAAAAAATTGGATCATAAAAGAGCTGAGGTACTAACAGTATCATCAAGTATTGAAACACGGTTAGAAAGTTTATTCCTTGAATGCCTCTCGAGTCATGAACAAGAGAAAATATCTAGAATTCTTCACACGTACGCCATCATGGGCAAAGAGAATATAGTTGAAAACTGTTTTTCTAAGTCCGTTGTAAGACCATTTATGAGGAAAGTCATTACCCAAGGTAATCTTTCCAGAAACGGTTTGATAAAACTTTATAAGGACATTTTAAGTTTCATACCAGACCATTGCTCTGATCTGCTAACTGTCACCTGCAATAAAACCAGACATTTTGAAGTTGTTCCCGGTTACGACTTTTTAGTGAATGCTGTATGGCCTGAAATCATGTTATGTTTTGATTATTTAGATTCTGTAACATTGTATTCACCGGGTGACCCTAAACTCTTCCATCAAAATTACACATCCACTATGAACTTCTTGCATCAATTTGAACAATATTGCATTGAAAATGCCACTATTAATAAATTGAGAAATCATTCTTCCTATTATGAATTTCTTAAAAAATGGAATTTGGATCTATATTTTCAAGTTAGATTTCAAGAAATAGCTGGTGCGTTTGAAACCTCGTTGTTAAAACCCTTTGATAAGTCTGAAAATGATAAGTTGCCTTATCTTTTAAATATAACTTGTTCTCTCTGGGCTAATTTATGTTTGTGTTGGGATGATAATGTATTTTTATCTCCATTGAAGAGTCAATTCTTTATGCTTTCTTTGCAATTATTATCGCGATACTGCAATTTAAGTTTTAGTGCTCTCATACAAGAAACTGAAAAATGTCTTGAAATTGCTATGCTAATGAAAGATATTGAAGTATTAAAAAATGAATTTAAACGATATCTTTCTGCTACCATTTTGCCTAAAATAAATGTCGAATCAATGAATTCAACTATTGACGAAGCCTTTCAAGACGGAATAGACCTTCTCTCTAAAATTCCACTAAAAGCTGCAGATTGTGTGGTATTGATTCTCACATCCAGATGCACAGGACACTTAAAACTAATCAGTGATATTCCGCGACTTTATCGACGAACAAACCGTGAAATGCCCGTAAAGCCTTCGACTTATGTTTCTCTTGTGTTTGCACCTTTAAATGAATTTTTGGAAGGAACTAAAACTATTCTTTCCAAGGAATGGACAGATTTTTGTAAACTGGAAGTTACTCGTGGAATTGTTAGTCAGTGTACGGCTATCGTACAAGATGTTTTAACATCAATTAAAAAAATGGAAGATAGCTTAAAAATTTTGAAAAGAGCTAGGGATAAACCTTCAGGACAGAGTACTGGCAGTGGAGTGACTGATGATGATAAAATCCGGCGTCAGCTAGCGATTGATGTTCAACATTTAAAAGAGATAGTATCAAATTTAGGAATAAAATCAGATAAAATTATTAGCTTAGAAGAATTATCTAAGCTTGTTTTAAATGCTGAGAGAGTTTCATAGAAGTGTAATTCGAAATATAAATTATTATATATTTGCTAATAATTATATTTAAATAAACTTTGTGTGCTACCGTACACTATCTAATAAGCATTAAATTATTATAAAATTTTTATGTTATTTTTAAGTGTGTTTAAAAAAATATGCATGTTATATTTTTCTAATGAATAGACTTTAGAATAATTGTTAAATATATAAATTTTTTTGCTATTCTGAATTGTTTGCATATAAAATAAAGAAAAAGTTATTATAATGAATTGGTATCATAATTATAATACTATGATGTTCAAATAATTAAATCTTGTGGGGGTAGTATAAATTATGTGCTATTGTTTTGTCGTCTAGGTTGTACGTAAAGGAGTGGGGGTGTGGACAGTAATCCTAGATCCAAGTTGAAATTCCTGACTTAGAAGTGTTGTGTTTTTTTAATGCTGAGAAGTACTTATTATCGATCTGTAATAAATAATAATATAAATCAGTAAATATTTTGTTTTTATTAGAAATAAACTCTAATGAAGCAAAATTAATATATATATTTGCTTGGAAATTATGAAAATAGATATTTCAAAAATCAAAGTGTAAACTACCATACTAAAAACTGGAAAATGCTGGCAGGAAAAAGGTTAGCCTGGAAAAAAAACTTCTTGAGAAGGCTAAGACCCACCCTGGACTGTTGAGCCATTGATGATGACCATAATGGAACTACCATTTTGAAAATTGCCATTTCAAAGAAAAACATTGAATCCAGGACTAAAATTACTAGTCAATGGGGTATAGGAATCGGCAAAAAATAAATGTTATAAATGCTGTGAGAGTATCGTATATAATCAGTTCTTGAAAACTGAAAGGATAAGTTTTTTTTTGAGAAAAGGGTGTGTTAAAAATAGTCTTGGTCTTGCTTGTCATTGTATTATTAATTAAAGCTAAAGTTACGACACATAAATTAAGAGGTAAGTATTTGAAGGATTTAAAACAGCAAATAAGTTAATTGCTTTTAAGTCTATCAAATTTGATGGGTACAAATCTGTGAGGGTCTGTCAACAAACGCAATTTCAAATATCCCTATTACTGTGAGTTAACAATAATCAAATATTTAGAGACGCACATAACTAATATTTAAGCTAGCCACTACGAATAATATATAATTTGTCCATTTGATAACGCTTTCACATGTGATTGTGAACATTGATGAAACTCGTGAAACATTGATGTTATTTTAAAGGAAAGGAACATATTTTTGATAAGCTTAATTTCTTAAAAGAAAAAAAAGCATTATACACTTCACAAAATAATAATTTGATAATTTTTAGCATTTCTTAAATTAGATATTTGCTATCGAGAAGAGCATAGAAAGTTGAATTAAATGAACAAATTCAGAAAAAAAAATGTTTTAGAATAACAAACTGGCCTGTGTAAGCATGAATGGTTAATGTAAGTCAATATTCAAAACCATTTTAAATGTAGGTATATATTAACTTCTCAAGCAGAGTTCAGTTCCTTAAAGTAGTGACTACTTTAAGGAAGTGTGACTACAAAAGTAGTTTGAAGTCACTACTTTTAAAACAAAGTAGTTGTAGTTAATTACATTTGTAAGAAAGTAATTGTAGCAGACTACAAATGTAATTTACTTTTTTCGATCACTGCTCAGGTTTAAAGAAACGACAGCATTGCTGCTAGTTTCATAAAGCAGATAAATACATATTTCTTTTTTCTACCATATTAAATTTTTTTGTTAAAATATGTAGGGATATATATGTTCCAGTTTTTTTTTTTTTTCATTCATTAAAAAATTTCTTCAATCATAATTGTATATTGTGGTATAATTTTTTTAATTTGCTTTAATATTTCCAGAAGTATTAAAATTTATTTATAAAAGGTTAAAGTTTACAATAACGACTTCATACTTTAGACTGATCAGCTGACTGAACTATTAGGACTGTATTTAACAAATCGGGAACACAATCAATATTTTAAGTTCTTAAATTTAAATATGTCGAAAAAGAGATATGTTTTACACACACACACAAACATATATATATATATATATATATATATATATAGTCAAACCCCGCTATAGTGAACATGGTTTATAGTGAACTCCCGGATATAGTGAACCAAAAAAGTGAGGAAGTTGGATATAATGAACTTTTTTCTGTCTTCGACTGTGTTTTTTCTTTATTTTTTTTATATTTTCAGGGAATATAAACTATCCAAATCTGAAGTTTGTAACATATGGAAAAGTAGGCAATTAATAATTTCTGCTCATGAAAAAAATTTAGATGACAGAATAAGTTGAGAAAAGTAGATCACGAGGATGATGAAGAAGCATTACTGAAGTGGTTCACCATTCGAAGAAGCCGCAATTTTCCTGTATCTGGACAAATGTGGATGAATTTGCTAAATGTTTTTATGAGACTACTTTCATGTGCTCGAATGGCTGGTTAGACAGGTTTAAAAAACGGAATAACAGAAATTTAGGAAAAA